TTGAACCACCCAAAAGTAGCGTCAAAAAGGACAAACCCATGAATGGGAGGGGGTTGTCAAAAGTCTATTCCTGTTCGATCCTGCTGCCTTGTGCCGAGTGAAAAAAGAACGGGATGCCAAAAAGTGGGCGGCCCTGCTTTTGACAAACCCATGACATGTGCCATGGTCAAAGATCCGAATACTTTGCGTTAGTCCAGCTACGGACCCCGCAATCGAGATTTACACAACCACTGTGAGTATTCATGTTAGCAGGGGAACCATGACAATGACACATAACAAGCAGTTTTCACCATGGCACACAGAACCACTTTTCAAATGCCAAAGAAAATGTTTACCTATCGTAGTGGACGTTGAGATCCACTGGGCAAGCCGATGTCGCATGAACCGAAGAATCGACAGCTCGACAAGAGAAACAGAAATTCAAGAATCTACACACCCAGCAAACTTAGAAGCGAAGAGTTGCAGTTTGGCAATCTCTGAAGTTTCTATGCGTCGAGGATCAAAGAATCAGCCGGGTTTGCAGGTTCCCTGGCTTCCCGTGAAGCACAACCAAAAGACATTCCCACTTTCACTCACTCTTTGCAGGGCATGCCTTTCCCTCATTCCCCACACAGAACCGCATCCCAGTTCCCAAGACCCATGTGGAGCGTGTGCCGCACACTTGATCCCAGTTGCTCCTGTAGGCATGCCATCGTCCTTCTTGTTTTTTTCCGAGTCGCTCCACTGTTTTATGCAGGTATCTGGGTTGATCCACGGCTTGGAGAGGGCTAGAGCGCGGCAAAGCCCGCTTTGCCAGCCAGCGACTTGAGGCTCCCGTGCAGCACGCCTTCTACTTCACCATGCGGGCGGGGTGTGTTTTTGTTTTCCTGAGTCCGAGTGTGCGTTTGTGGGTGTTTTTGAGGTTATTATGTTCTGCATATGTTTTGGCAAACCAAAGGAACAACCACCAACAACTGGTCCCCTATTTTCACAGACCCCAGCGAGGAACCAAGGAAATCACCCTTTGAGAGGAACATGATCCGTTGCCTACTGTTAGTTGGGATCCACTGGAGGGTCTGAATTCTACTTTGGGACTCGTTGGACATCAGAAATACATCGGACAGTTGTGTGTACCCACTTGGGAGGGTCATTTTGAATCAAACAAGCTTCGGCCCCTTCAAAGTGATTCGTAGATGAACTTCTGGGAGCCGCCCTTTGCCCTGGTGACACTTGCTCAAGAGGACCCTTAAAAGCTAGTTGTTTTTCTTTTTTGTCTCCTTTCAAATTGTCAAACACCAACCAACGGCTTCTCTTTTTTGAGAAACCGATGAACTGAGCGATGCGATTCGCCTGGCGAAGAGGTTTATCCCAGCGATTTCATTTTGCTTCACAGTAGGTAGCCAAGGAAATCCACCATAGATGGGTAGATGGCAGGTCCAAGTTATCATGCCCCTACCAACACAAGGGAATTGTGCCATCTACTTTCAGTCTTGTGTAGCATGGAAATTCCCGGCTACTTATTCTAGTGGAATCTGGCATGCAAAGGCATATGGAGCTCTACCTACTTTAGGCTTTGAGATTCTGGGAAGAAATGGGCTCAAGCTGATACATGAGCGATAACTCATGCATGTGTACGCACACGTACTGTATATGTATCAACGTATATATATATATATGATTTTTGAGCACGTCCCAAAACCGTTTGTTTGGACTGCACTTGGGGTTTTGGACATGGGAAAAGGCAGTCGTAGGGTTCTGGTATTGGCTTTCGTTTTTCCGACCTCTTGAGGTACGAAGCGCTAGGTTCTGATGCGCCAGCTCCTGTGACCACTTGGACGACCCAAGATGTGGAGGGGACCTTTTTTGGGCGTGCTTTAATTGGAAGCCAAAGTGAAACCACCCCTTTTGTGGGGTCCCTTATTTTGACACCCAAGTGGCTTCAGCGTAATGCTTTCCCAACCTTTGGAACTGATCCAATTGGCTGACAGAAACTGATCAGGTTGCCAGCCCTGCATTCTGAACACATTTGAACACCTTCTTGCTGCACTTTCAAGGGAATGTGTCAAAGCTAGGACCCTCTTCCTGAAGGGCGGGTTCGTGGGTTTTGCTGAAAACTGAATCCAAAAACGGGTCCTAGAAAAATACATGCCCAGCATATGAGGATATATTAGGTGTGTCATTAAAAGGCGGCAAACCTATTCCTTTCCGGGGGGGCCTGGTTATTTCCATGCGAATAGTCCTGGTGGCTCGCCAGGATGCAATGAACTGGGACATGGCGGAGTACTTTGGACTGGTTCCGCACTGCAACAGCAGACAGTGCAAGATTCTTCCAACCTCGAACGCTACGCTTTGATGAACTGGCCCTTTTGCTTGGGTTCCACCGTCCCCCCAATTCAGAGCCTTGGTTTCGGTTCAAGCTGACTTTCCGAGCTCCCAGATCAAGCATGATTGAGCCAGAAGCGTTTGGGAATGTAGGTATAGTAGCCCTGCCAAGATCTCATCGAAGAATCGAAGATCATGCCTGCAGTTTTCTTGAAGGCATACCGCAGGCATGTGTTGTTTTTTTGCTACATGCAGTAGATGAGCCACAATGTTGATTGGGATGTGTGGCAGGTCCGACCCAAACATGCGCCCATAGTGCAGGAACAATGCGTTTGCCCGTTTGACAATTGCATCAGTTTGCAAAGCAACTCTCAGTGTTTCCCTTTGATTTTTTGGAGCCCAGGTTCGTTTTGAAAGGGCTTGCGGCTCATCCCGCCCGGCTCATACAATCCAAATATTCCCCGCGGCAAAGCTCCGTGGCAAAGCGTATAGGTCCTAGGTGGTTTCATCGAGTTTTCACGTCCTCGGGGAACTCGAGCGATGGAAAAGGCGCGGTGTGGTCAGGCTGGTTTGGAGTGATCATGTCACATGCTAAGAAGACATTTATACACGCTTTCACACCCAAGGGACACCTGGGGACATTTCAGACTACCTTTTGCGGGCGCTGTTTGGGCTAGATGTTTGTTTTGTGTCTTCTTCTTTTTCTCGGAACTACCAGGGCAGATTTGGGTGGTTGACAGCAATGGGCTCCGGCATTGAAAACATGGTTCGCACTCCAGGCAATGTTGGATAACCACGAGTCTGCCATTTGTGTAAAAATGCTTCAGTAAGGTCGTCACAGAAGCCCTTGCAGCTTGGGAGAGCAGGGCTGGATTCGAGCCGTAGCTAGCTTGCTGGTTGATCTTGGGGTTGTTGTCCAATCAGCGCTGGCATTAGGCATTGATTTTCGCGCGTATGGATTTTGCGCGCAACAAGCAGGGCGCGATTGCTGCCAGCAATGGCACAAAGTTGTGGTTACCCTATCCTTGTTGTGGGGGGAATGCCTCCGTTCTAGAGTACAAGTTCGGATTCATCCAGGGCTCCCAACACCACTCTCACTCACTCGCTCGCGCGCTCGCTCCCTCACTCACTCACTCACTAACTCACTCACCCATCAACTCACTCGCTTGCACGCTCGCTCGCTCGCTCGCTCGCTCGCTCACACTCACTACTCACTCACTCACTCACTCACTCACTCACTCACTCACTCACTCACTCACTCACTCACTCACTCACTCACTCACTCACTCACTCACTCACTCACTCACTCACTCACTCACTCACTCACTCACTCACTCACTCACTCACTCACTCTGACTCACTGACTCACTGACTCACTCTCACTCACTCACTGACTGACTCACTGACTCACACTCACACTCACTCACACTCTCTCACTCACTCACTCTCACTCACTCTCACTCTCTCTCTCACTCTCACTCACTCACTCTCACTCAGTTACTGAATCACTGACTCACTGACTCACTGACTCACTCACTCACTCACTCACTCACTCACTCAGTCACTCCGTCACTCACTGACTGACTCACTGAGTCACTCACTCACTCACTCACTCACTCACTCACTCACTCACTCACTCACTCACTCACTCACTCACTCACTCACTCACTCACTCACCCACTCACCCACCCACTCACTCACTCACTCACTCACTCACTCACTCACTCACTCACTTTCTCTCTCTCTCTCTCACTCCCACACTCTCACACTCTGACACTCACACACTCACTCTCACGCACACTCACACTCACACTTACTCTCTCACGCTCACGCTCACTCTCACTCTCACTCTCTTTCTCTCTCTCACTCTCACTCTCACTCTCACTCTCGCTCGCTCGCTCGCTCGCTCGCGCACTCACTCACTCACTCGCACACTTTCACAGTGTCACTCTCACTCACCCTCACACTCCACTCACTCTCTCACTCTTATTATCACCGTCACTCTCACACTCTCACACTCACACTTACTCTCTCACTCCCACTCTCACTCTCACCCTCACTCTCACTCTCACTCTCACTCGCACTCACCCACCCACTCACTCACACGCGCGCGTGCGCGCACCCACCAACCCACCCACCCACCCACCCACCCACCCACCCACTCACTCCCTCCCTCCCTCCCTCGCTCGCTCGCTCGCTCGCACACTTTCACACTCTCACTCTCACCTCACCTCAACACACCTCACCTCACCTCACTGTGAACTCACACACAGACACACACCTGAGTGGTTGCATGCAAACCAGGGGGGTCTCCTTTGAACTTACGTTGCCTTCAAGGCTCACTGAACAAGGCTCACTGAATATGGACCGGACAACATATTATGTTTGGTTGTGGCAAAAGTTGAGGAATCCTGAAAGGGCAAAGACAACATTGAACTTCTAGTTTCAAGGTTTTGGCCCTGCTAGCTGGCTTTTAGCTGGGAATGAGGGGTGTTTTTTAATGAGCCATTTCTTGTGGTTTTCTTAGATCCCCTTTCAGTTCATTCCTAGTCTACGTACGCCTCCCTGGGAGCCGATTTCGATTGTTTCTTACCCTGACTTTGACGGAAAAGGAAAGGATGGGGCCAGCAACATTCCCTTACTGGTAGACATAGTTCCCTTCAATCCAAAGGGACCTTTGGATTTCACCGAAAAACGAGGCATTTTGCAGCTGGCTGATGGCTTGCAGCCTTACAAGACGCGGCCCACGGTGCAGGCCCGGGGTGTGCGTTTGGCTGTGTTTCTTTTTCAACCTTCTTCGGGAAGGAAAAGGGGAAACCATTTGAGGGGCCCCCTTTTGACACATTCCACACATTCCACCTGGGAATTGAAAGGATACTCCGTGAGGCTTTTAGAAACCTTGAAGGGTCACTTGGGGATCTCTAAGCTGCAGAAATCAGCCGAAATGGGCTTCGGCGGGGATGAGAGCTGCCCGCTGGAAGCCCTCCCCAAGCACCATCCCACAGAGGAGATAGGTACAGATGTGGGGAACCCCCTGGTTCTCACTCGGCCAGTTCGCCGTGGCCGGTTTCCCTGTCGCAGTTCAATACTAGTATCATGTCGACAGGTTCCGTGTTACAGCTTTGTGAGGGCAGATGAAGGACGCACATAGCATCAAGCCCTCCAGACGTTTGGAGATTCATTTTCGGAGACAGGCCTGTGCATGAAGCGCGAACAAAGCTGCAACAACAGACACGTGTCATCATGTCACCAGATGCAGCCGGCACATCCGAGGTGATTGCTAACAAGCGAGGCCCTACCGCCTCTCGGCTGATGAGTGGATGTTGAGCGTGAAGCGTTAGGAAGGTCCCTTTGGGATTCGTAAGCTATAGTATTTTGCCCAAGCTCGTAGTTGGATGGACAAGGACTTATCGGCCATGCCTAGTAAAGATTACATTGCCTGCAACCTGAAGCAAACTTCTGTTGTGAAGAAAAGCAATGTTCCTCATGGCGATGTGTGGCATGTGGCCAATGACCAATGTTTACTCAATCGTATGGGGTGTGGGCTGCATTTGTGACCCGATCCCGTGATTCAGGTTGTGCATGAGAGTCACCAAATGCTTCGTGTGGCCCTTTGCTATGGGTACCTAGAATCCCTCCGGAGAAAACAGGAGAAAACAGAGAAAAACCGGAAGAAACAGCAAAAAACCGGAAAAAAAAAACCCGCACAACATAAAACACGGCAGCAAACACACCAAAAAACAAACAAACAGAACATTGAAACGAGAAAAAAACACATTGAACACAAGCTGAAACATACATGCCTGCATGTGATGGGGGTACTATCATTTAGCGCTTCTTCGGACAACCATGGGCCCTCGCAAACAAGGATGCCACCCTCACACGCATTGCACTAGGTCCTATAATCCCTTCCCCACAGGAATAACCCCCAACAAAATATGTATGCTCTATAGTTGGCAGCCACAGCTTGAATAGCGAACTTTTGACTGCAAATTGCACCTGCAATGTTGATGCTCATGACAGTGCTTCGAAAAGTCCACTCCCGCAGCTGGCGATCGAACATTGCATCACATTGCGTGGAAAGATCGCTACTGTAGTTGTGTGTGTGTGTGTGTGTGTGTGTGTGCAAAGCGTCTTTCTTGGCGCAGACTGCAGCCCATAGGCTGCGCAGCCTCAAGCTGCAGGCTGCGCAGCCCAGAGCCTGCGCAAACTACAGCCTGCAGGCTGCGCAGCCTCAAGCTTCTAAACTGCCAACTTGGAGCCTGCGCAGGCTGCAGCCTTCAGGCTGCAGGCGCGTCTCAGAGCCTACGCAAGATGCAGGCTGCAGGCTGCGCGGCCTCGAGCTGCAAGCTGCGCATCTTAGAGCCTGCACACGCTGCAGCCACAAGCTGCAGGTTGTGCAGCTTAGCATGCGCAAGCTACAGGCGGCGCAAGCCAGAGCCTGCGCAGGGTACAGCCTGCAGGCTGCACAGCCTCAAGCTGCAGGCTGCGCATCTGGGAGCTGCGCAAGCTGCAGCCCGCAGGCTGCGCATCTTAGAGCCTTCGCGGCTGCAGCCTGCAGGCTGCGCAGCCTCGAGCTCCAAAATGTGAAAGCTGCAGGGTGCCCATCTACAAGAGCCCGTGCAAGCTGCAGCCTGGCAGCCTGCGGCCTGCAGGCTGCGCAGCCTCAAGCTGCTGCCCAGTCTGCAGCCTCAAGGTGCAGGTTAACAGCCCAGAGCCTGCGCAAGCTACAGCCTGCGCAAGCTACAGCCTGCAGGCTGCGCAAGCCTGCAGGCTGCGCGCGCAGCCCGAGCAAGCCACAGCCTGCAGGCCGCGCAGCCCAGAGCCTGCGCAAGCTCAGCCTCAAGCTGCAAGCTGCGCATCTTAGAGCCTGCGCACGCAACCTGCAGGCTGCGCATCTTACAGCCTGGGCAGGCTGCAGCCTGCAGGCTGCGCAGCCTCAAGCCACAGGCTGCGGTCCGCAAGCTACAGCCTGCAGGCTGCGCCTGCAGGCTGTAAAGCTTGCACAGGCTCTGCAGCCTCAAGCTGCAGGGCAGCGCGGCCCAGAGCCTGCGCAAGCTATACAGCCTGCAGGCTGCGCAGCCTCAAGCTGCAGACCAACCTCAGGCTGCGCAGCCTCAAGCTGCAGGCTGAGCCCCGAGCCTTCGCAAGCTACAGCCTGCAGGCTAGCCTCAAGCTGCAGACTGCAGGCCCCCGAGCCTGCACAGGCTGCAGGCTGCAGGCTGCAGGCTGCAGGCTTGCGCGTCTTGGAGCCTGCCCTTGACCCCTTCATCAAGCATCCGGCGCAAGTACCATAATTTCCCCGCTGTTTGCTGAAATATTGCAAGCAAAAACGAGAAGGGCTGAGCCAAGGATATAGATGCGCAGCCTTGAGGCTGCGCAGCCTGTGGGCTGCAGCCTGCGCAGGGTCGAAGGTGGAGCTTGAAGAATGAAGCTGCGCAGCCTGCAGGCTGCAGCCTGTGCAGGCTCTGGCTGGGCAGCCTGCAGCCTGAGCCTGCGCAGCTTGCAGGCTGCAGCTTGCGCAAGCTCTATAAGCCTATAAGCTGCGTAGCCTGCAGCGTGAGGCTGCGCAGCGTGCGGGCTGTAGCTTGTGCAGCCTGCAGATAGGCTGCGCAGCCTGCAGTTTCGCAGGCTGTGGGCTACGCATCTTGCCGGGTGTAGCGTGCGCAGGCTTTTGGCTACGCAAGCTACAGCCTGCAGACTGGCGGTTGCGCAGCCTGTCAGCCTCAAGCTGCAAGAGCCTGCGCATTGTCAGTCTGCAGCTGCTCTCCTGGCTTTTTACGGTTTTCACCGGTCTCTCCCGGTTTTTACCGGTTTCTACCGGTCTCTCCCGGTTTTTACCGGTTTCTACCGGTTTTCACCAGTCTCTCCCGGTTTTTACCGGTTTCTACAGGTTGTCACCGGTTTCTCCCGGTTTTTGGCTCTGGCGCAGCCTGCGGACTGGCTCGAGGCTGCGCAGCCCGCAGGCTGTTACTTGCGCAGGCTCTAGGCTGCGCAGCCCAGCCTGCCCGGCTTAGCAGCTTCACGCTGCAAGCTGTGGCTTGCACAGGTCGCTCCGCAGCCTGCAGCTTGAGGCTCCGCAGCCTGCAGGCTGCAGTCTGTGCAGGCTCTAAGGCTGCGCAGCCTGACTGCGCAGGGTTGGGCTTCGCAGCCGGCTGCAGCTTGCGCAGGCTCGAAAATGCGCAGGCCTGCAGCTAGAGGCTGCGCAGCCTGCAAGCTGCAGCCTGCTCAGGCTCTAAGATGCGCAGCGTGTAGCTTGAGGCTGCGCAGCCTGCAGCCTGCGCAAACTGCAGCCTGCAGGCTGCGCAGCTTGCTGAAGACTGCTCCTGCAGGCTGCGCAGCAGGCTGCGCGTCTTAGAGGCTGTGCAGACTTTATCTGCTGGCCCAGGCTGTGCCTGCAGGCTGCGCAGCCTCAAGCTGCAGGCTGCGCAGCCAGGAGCCTGCGCAAGCTACAGCCTCCAAGATGTGCAGCCTGCAGATTGAGGCTGCGCAGCGTGCAGGCTGTAGCTTGCGCAGGCTCTGGGCTGCGCAGCTTGCAGCTTGAAACTGCGAAGCCTGCAGGCTGCAGCCAGCTTGAGGCTGCGCAGCCTGCAGCTTGAGGCTGCGCAGGCTCCACGATGCGCAGCCTGCAGCTTGAGGCTGCGCAGCCTGCAGGCTGTAGCTTGCGCAGGCTCTAAGCTGCGCAGCCTGCAGTCTGAGGCTGCGCAGCGTGCGCGCTGTAGCTTGCGCAGGCTCCGGGCTGCAGTTTGAAGTTTCGCAGCCTGCAGCTTGAGGCTGTGCAGCCTGCAGACTGTATACTTGTAGCTTGCGCAGGCTCTGGGCTGCGCAGCCTGCAGCTTGAGGCTGCGCAGCCTGCAGGCTGCAGTCTGTGCAGGCTCTAAGACGCGCAGCCTGCAGCTTGAGGCTGCGCAGGCCTGCGCAGCCTGCAGCTTGAGGCTATGCAGCCTGCAGGCTGTACTTGTAGACTGCGCAGGGTTGGGCTTCGCAGCCGGCTGCAGCTTGCGCAGGCTCGAAAATGCGCAGGCCTGCAGCTCGAGGCTGCGCAGCCTGCAAGCTGCAGCCTGCTCAGGCTCTAGCGCAGCGTGTAGCTTGAGGCTGTGCAGCCTGGAGGCTGTAGTTTGCGCAGGCTCTGGGCTGCGCAGCCTGCAGCTTGAGGCTGCGCAGCCCACGGGCTGGAGTCTGCGCAGGCTATAGATGCGCAGCCTTGAGGCTGCGCAGCCTGTGGGGTGCAGCCTGCGCAGGGTCGAAGGTGGAGCTTGAAGCTTGAAGCTGCGCAGCCTGCAGGCTGCAGCCTGCGCAGGCTCTGGCTGGGCAGCCTGCGGCCTGAGCCTGCGCAGCTTGCAGGCTGCAGCTTGCGCAAGCTCTATAAGTCTATAAGCTGCGTAGCCTGCAGCTTGAGGCTGCGCAGCGTGCGGGCTGTAGCTTGTGCAGCCTGCACGTTGCGGGAAGCTCAGCCCAGAAAAGAAAGCATGTGCAGGCGCAGGATGTGGTGCCAAGTGAAAACTCTTATTTCACTTGCCATGCGTGTTTGCTTGCGCCTGCATCTGCTGCTTGACGCTTATTTCTGCCGGATGTGGCTTGTCACGCTTTTTCTACAAATCTGGGTATTTGGAAAAGGGTCGTGCCTATTTTGTAGGCTGTTGTGGAAATACTTCTCGATTGAAACTCTGAGGTCAACTGTGTTGCAATAAGCTTCACTAAACAAGACGATAATTCCAAACTGCCATTTTGAGTGAATCAAGGGTCCCTGCAAGTGCACCGTCCCAGTAAGATCGCACCCGGCAGGGATGCTCTTCCTTAGGAAGCTGATATCTTCAAGGAACACTCCCACTGCTAGGGTGGGCTGAAGTGTTGAACCACTCTTTCCATAAAATACCTCTGTCTTCCAAAGGGCGCGCATGCGTAAACAACTAAAATTTGGCAGGTTAATCGAGTTCGGGTACTGGTGGCGACTTCGTTGCGCGCAACAAAATGCCGCCCTTGCTCTTGCTTGCAAAAAGACAATCCAGGGTGCAGCGTGTTGGGCCAGCTTCATCCAGCCCGTTTTTCCCGGTTTTACCCGGATTTCTGCGGCATCCTCTAGGGACCCATAGCGTAGGGCCACACAAGAAATTCAGTGGGAGAGCGACTTGAAATCTGAACGCTTTGAACATTTGCAAGGAGCTGACTTCAACAACTATCATAGCTCGAGCGCATTCATTTTTAAGTTGCACGACCAATCATCTGCATCACTGCACTTCTCGAGGCTGATTTCGCAAGAGCCATGACTTTGTGGCAGGGTTGGGCCAAACCCCTGTTTAGACATAACAGAATGACAGCCATACTAAAGCACTCTTTTAGATCCTCTGAGGGGAGTGTTTACACCTAGGTTTTGCAAGCACCTCTTTGGGAACCTTTGGCCTTTTGCCGACTTGTGAGAATGTTCTATTTAATTTAACCATCTAGCCAACCACTCAATCAATCATCCATCCAACCATCCAACCATCCAACCAACCAACCAACCAACCAGCCAGCCAGCCAGCCAGCCAACCAACCCACCCCCCGAGCCTCTTCAGTCCAGGACCCTCAGGCGGTGCTGCGCATCTCTGACGGCGCCGGGCTAAATTGATGCGAAATCAGTCTCTGGGTGCTGAAAAGTTGTTCATTTTACGGATGTTTGTTATTTCCCCTGTTGGCCCAAGAGCTATCTCGCACGAATGACTGGATATATGTTTTTTTTTTTTTTCCAGACTTGAGCAAATGGAGGGATAGCAACGATATTTGTTGCTTTATCCAGAGGCAAACCAAAAGGCGATGGGATGAGTTATGTTTGTCTCCCAGACTCCCTATGTATGGGATGTCTTGTTTTTGGCCCAGAGCCCGTATTTAGCCCCCAGCTAAGCAGAACCCCGCGATGGCTATGACATGGTGTTCGAAGTGAGCTGGGCCAATAAAAATTGGGGGCCTTTGGTTTGCGGGTGGGCTTGCAGTATATAGGTGGACAAATTATATTTGAATTGGTAGACATCAATCCGACCGTGTGTTCGACACATACCATCCTTTTAGAGGAATCATAGGTAGACATATTTCCAACTGGTGTCCAACAGGAACCCACCCATTCGGAGACAATGCAGGTTAACCTGAACTCAGAAGCCCACACGGTTAGAGGAATCTGCTTTTGTTCGATCCCTTGTCGTGGAGGACCTACCAATGTGTGTTTGTCTCTAAATGAGATATGACATCCCAAAAGCGGTGGTTCCCTCATAGTGTTTCCTGCAACAGGGAGTCCCTTTTGTGGGGATTTGCAAGGGAAGCAAACAACACCTAGCAGTTGTTGGGGTAGCCCAGTTTGCCTGCAGCTTGGTGTGAGGCCAAAACTACATGATGGCGATCGTGGCCGCGGACATCAAGGACTTGATTGGCAGTGGCAGTGGATCCAAGCCGTTGCGGCCTTCTCACTTCTTGTTCCGCAGATCTGCTTCCTGAAGGCCTGGGAAAAATGGGGGAGATTGGAGTCGCCCCCACGGTTTTGATGCAGCATTGTCAGTAACTCCGCAATTGATGAGAGTAACACCGCAAGTCTGGATCCAGCAAACTACGCTGTTACCGCGCGGTCTCAGCTTTTCACCAGGACCCTGTGGAGGGCAGCATCGTGCAGCTGCTGGACTGGACCACCGGCACCCACGAAGGATGGGCTCCCATCGAACCAAAGTCGCGTTGCATCCGAAAGGAACGAATTTGTCAGAAACAAATCCCAAGGGTCCCAGGACCTTTTGTGAATTTGAGGTCTTGTGAGGTGCAAGGCCTTCAATTAGGGTCTTGGGCTCCCAGGGAATGGGCAAATGGGTCACCCAACCAAAGGATTACCAAGGCTTCAAGACCTTTGAGCTCTCTGGGGGCTCGGCTCCGAGGGTCTTGCGCTCCTGAAGAGTGTCCATTGAAATAGGAATAATGCTCATGCGCTGACCAGCATCCCCAAGCGATATATCGACCCTGCAACAGGCAAGGATCCAACTAAACATGTCTCTACCCCCAGAGGGTAAAGAATACGGGCAGCGTGTATTCTTTTGCAGGGATGAATGCCCACATGTTCGTGGCGACATGTTGCGTATGTTACATAGGCATTTGACTGACAGGGCCAGAGCCGCGTAGGTGTGATGAAGGCCCCCCCTCAACAATGGAGGCACTAGAATTCTGTAGGCTCACTGTTTGGACATCCAAACAATAGAGGATTTTGGGGCCCAATTCTACTTTAGTATCGCAGCCACTTCCTTTTTGGAATTCTACTTTAGTATTGCAACCACCTCTTCCTGAGCAGACTTTTTGGAATACTACTTTAGTATTGCAACCACTTCTTCCTGAGCATACTTTTTGGAATACTAATTACGTTAGTAGCCATTCAAAGGGTTTGCCTTTCAGCCAGGGAGGGCTTGAGCTAGAAAGAAACCAATTGAAAGTGGAATGCTTTTAGGCAAGTGGGCCACCAATGGAAAGGGGAATGCTTTTAAGCAAGTGGGCGACCAATTGAAAGGGGAATGCTTTTAAGTAAGTGGGCCACCAATTAAAAGGGGAATGCTTTTGAGCAAAGCAACTGACAGTTTATTTTCTGGAGGGGGCTGGGGGCTTGCAACTAATGTGGTCCCCCTAAAGAATGCTATTGTTGTGGTTCATTGGGGTCTGTGAGGGGTACCCTTGTCCTGATTGTGTTTGTTTTATTTTTTTTATTTTTTCAACACGGTTTAATAAAGAATTGGCAGTTCCAGGGGTGGGGATGGTTTTCAAATTTCAGAGGTCTCAGCTGGCTTTGGGTTGTGTGTTTGAGCAACCAATTAAAAGGGGAATGCTTTAAAGCAAGTGGGCCACCATGAACAATTTGTGGATATGTTTTGTTTTGTGGATTATTTCTTTGGATTCCCCCCCCCCCCCCCCCCGTGCAAAAACAACTTTCACTTATTCTGGTCCCCATCAACAATGGGGGTGAACCACAATAAGGAAAACACTTTGCATTGTTGACTATTCCATGAGTAATCGGATGTCAACATTAGGCATTTCACGGACGCTCATGTTGTGAAGATCGCGTAGACAGCCGTGTAGGCCGCCATTTGATAGTTTGAGTTGTCGCGTGGCATGAGTTTTCTTGTTTTAACGAAAGCTTGCATGATGTGAAGCGTTGTCGTGGGGATGGTCTGACGGCGGCCCTTCCACTTTTGGGGCTGGAGCTGCCACAGCGGACTGCATGTCATGCAGGTGTACTATAAGTTGTGATGTTCGAGCTGGAGCTGTCCAGCATTTGGCGCAGCCCCAAATGTGTTGAGGCGCGTAGGCGCGTAGGCATCTTGGTCTCGCGTAGGCGTTTTTGTGGGAGTGGTTGTGTTTGGCGTAGGTAGGGTAGGCGGTGTAGGCGGCGTAGGTGTGGCATAAGCAAGCTCCATAATGATAAGTAATGGTAAGGCCCAACGCAACCAAAACAAAAACACTGCCCATATACGACAAGTCCCACATTGACTGTTTGTCATTAGCTGTAACTTCAAGGGCATTCATAAACCCCATAAGCTTACCACGCCGTTGGCACCGGCAGGTTTGCCAGCGATTCTCGCCTGGCACTCAGCTCTGCTGCTTTGATCTCAAGAGAGGAGCAACTCAGTTTTGCTGGGGTGTAGATGTTTTGAATGATCGCATCGAACTGTTCAAACAGGATCGCAGGACTTGGACAGAGGTCAATTTTTGCCAATGAGTTCAAATATTGGCGTAGCTTGACCTGCTATTTCGCATTGCCCAACTCATGGCTATTCAGCGCGTGAGAAACCCCAACTGCTTGGAGGCACGCGTCAGACGTCGATCACTGCGCCGTTGGAATGGGATGGGGTGACTCGCAAGCTCAGGGATGGCCCCCCACAGGTTTGCCCTTCGGATTCTATATAATTCTCACGGCTGGGCTCATAAAGGGCCTAGCATGACTTCAGGGCTCTCTGTTTGAGGATAAGGAGGATATGGATATGGCAGCACCTGCTGGGAGGATCTGAGCAAACGTGCCCTCATATGCCCAGCGATGCACTGGGGCATGTTCTGCGATTCGACAGCTTTTCGGCTGCTTTACCCGCCATTGTTGTGAGTCCCATTTTGTGTGGCACGGCAGTTTGAGTCACCGTACAAGGGCGCCTTCGAAAAACCCCGGGCCGCTGCCATGTTTCAGCCATGGTCTTAAGCCGTGAAACTGACAAGGCGTGAAAAGGCCACTCTCCGGGGTTGGGGTCGGGGTGCACCTTGAGCCTCACTCAAGGTGGAAGACTGGGACCAGTCCTCCAACGAGCGCTTTCCCATCCAGGGCCAGCCGGTGGCCTTTGCCTCAGAGGGGTTTCCTGCGCGCGGTCCAAGTGTTATGCGGGGAGCTTTGGAAGCTCCCCAAAGCTCCCTGCGGAAGTTGCAAAGTTCGGCTGACCGGAAGCTCCGCAAGTTTCGAGGCGGTGCCAATGAAGTCCAGCCTTGCTGGAGGAGATAGATGTGTCGGATCCGGCGGTGCTTCTGCTCTGGGCGACTTGCAACTCGAGATGTTGAAGTTGGAGGGCCATTCTGGGAAAATCACAACGACGCCCTTTCTTGGTCATTCCCCATTTCCGGTTCAAGAATAATAGTCGTTTCTCCGTATGTGAGGATGCGTGGAGGGGGAGGAACTGATTTTGTGTTTAGGATAGCTTAACCTTCATACATGTGCTGGGTGAGTGCTGACTTATTTAAGCCCACAGCGACCGCGCGGAACTTTGAGATTGGTCAGGTTGTGAAACATTCATTACCTTGTGGGCAGCTTGAAATTGATTTACTTCTGGTAGGGTGATGTTGTTTCAGTGATATGCTGGCAACCACTGGGCGTTGCAGCGGAGAGGTCGCAGACCTTTGCCAGGAGCCCCAATGCCAGCCTGCGCTGGAGACGCCTTCACCTTGGTGCATATGGGTATGTGTTAATTTGGGGGGTACTACTTCTCGGGGGTGGCGCGAACAAACGGAAGCCGCTTCTTTCTGTTTTTGGCGTGTTCCCCATTTTAAGCTGCACCCGTAAAGGCAGGTGTTACTTTTGACCAGTGAGTGTGCCTTCAAGCTAGCAACTTGAGGCAGCACCACAAGGCCCACGCATTTCTTGCGAAGCAGACAGTCACTCAGTGAGATGCATCTTTGGCTTGCGCTGTGCCCGAGGCCAAGTCGAGTTACCCTGGCACAAGTGCAGCTGCGTCCTCAGACGGCAGAAACCAATGAAGCCATGCGTGTCGTGTTTAGGTTGGTTGAGTCTGGTTTTAGCTTCGTTCTGATCATCCGGCGCCAAGCATAGTTCTAAATGAACACCCAGGCCTGAAACTGCTGCCGCCTGATTCAAGCGAACGAGCATCGTGCCCTTGACTACTTGGAAGCGAAGTGAGTCGCCGAAAAGGGTCTGGATTTGGGAGGGCAAAGAAGTCGGCCGTTCCTTTTTTTCCGGTAGACACCATGGGGTTTTGAGAGCTGCGGCGACTAGCACCGCGACCAAGGGCGACCAGGAGGAGCAGGATCAGATCTGGCGCAAGCCAGCGACAGCCGACCGGCCCGCTGGGCGGCCAAGGCCAACGGTGTAAGAGGATGTATGGGGGTGCTATTTATTTGTCGGCTGGACTGTGGGGGCTGGCCAAAAAGACTTGTGGTTCAGTTTCATCCACAATATACGCAAATTGTCTTTTTTAAAGGGTACCCCTTTTGCGGTTGCTTCACATATAAAAGGGGAACCGACCGAAATCGACCTCGTTGGGGTTTTATCGTTTTAAGACTCGCCCACAGAACGTTGAGGCTAGTCTGCAGCGCTTCTGAAACTTGATCCAGAAGTATTATTGCATGTAGAAATATTACATATTCTAGCAAAGACGATTATATTGGGACAAGCACCTGCAGTAAATGTGTCTTGGAGAGGCTGGGACCATATTCTCGACTCTAATCCACCATAGAAGCATATGTGCAGCCTTTGCAGGGAAAAACAAGGTCACGCCGCTGTTAGCAGCCCCGCTGAATTCGCCCCTTTTTCAGCGCAATCGTCAACCCTTCCAGCACGTTGTGAAATGTCGCATTTTCCGGCATGCTGAAACATCCCACGTTTACCATGACATTAACGACTTTGTGGCTCATGTCTGTTGGGCAAACACAATTCAGCGCGAAAGGCTGGGCCGAAAAAACGGCTTCAGGCACGTCCTCATGCCAGCTTGCTTAACTCTTGCAACAGGCTCTGTTGGCTTGTGTTGAACCCACAATTAGAAATACCAGTAGACGTCAAGAATAATCCGACTTGATGCGAGGTCTTTAGGCTTTCAAGTTTAGTGTTGGTTGTTCGGGGCTAAGGCATTGGAACACAAGAGCCCAACATCTTCCCGACTCTTTACCCCGAAGCCGAGAAACCCAAGATTTCCAAATGAGGCGGCCCGGCGAGTCTTGAATGCTAAGCGGTGCTCAAGCCTGCAACGGCTGGACACAGTCAGAGGCATGAAAGGAGCCCCCGAGGTCTGGAGGTGTTGAAGGGGCTGGGCTGTTTGCCGCCCTTTGCAACACCCTACCGCAAAGAACAAACTGAGCCGCGTGCAAGAAGAAGCAGAAGTGCAGATTGCAGAACGCAGGTCCCAAGAGCGTGCAAGGGCAGCAGATGAGGCTGTGAGACAGCAAGCCGCAATGGGTACCTATCTTCAGCAAGGACATTTGCCGAACGAAGTCCAAGTCAGGGTCCGCGCCTGGCAGGCATTGCGCCACAGGCACAGCAAGGGCACCGAGAAGAAGCAGGACAGATCCCAAAGCGCAGCAGGAGCGGACTAAAAACCAGCAAGACGAAGCAAGATCAAAAAGAAAGTGCAGAAAGAGAAGGCAGAGACAGCATGAGGCTAATTAATGGCTGTTGGAAGCACGAGAGCGCATGCAGACGCGAACGCTATTATTAATTATCCACCCGCCACCCACCCCACCCCACTCCACCAAAAAAAAGGAAACATGCACATTCGCTGGGGCCGCTAATGGCGGCGTGAGCAAAAACAAGCACCACGAGAACCCCACCTTTTGGAAACGCGTGCCACCAACATGCTGTTCCTTTTGTCTGACCTCTTGCGTGGTTGAATGTTGCAACTGTCGAACACCCAAACTCCCCCACCACTGGCCCTAAGGCACAAGGGTGTTTCCAAAATAGGGAATCGCCTGATGGTTGACTTACCCTGCCAACAACTGACATGGAGCCTGCCTGCTCAAAAGAGGCTCTCTTGTGGTTTCCATGTTGAGTGTAATTACATTCCTTGGTCATATGATCAAAACGGGGGCCGGGGGGGCAGTCCCGTTTTGAGTGGATGGCCAGAAAGATCTGCTGCAGCTTTCGAAGCCAAGGACTTTCTGAAGCCGAGCCTGATGACTGCTGGAGGCGGTTTGTGCATGCCAAATGACCGTTTCTTGGATGTGAGGAATCTGGTAGGCATGTCACTGAAAGGACCACAGCCGCGTAGGCGTGCGAAGGCTTTTTGTGGAGGCTCCTGTTGCGAAGGCCTTGCCCAGGCAGTCGCATAGGCAACTATTTGAGAAGTTGATTCGTGACGGGAAGCGTTGCTGTGGGGTATTGCCTGACGGCTTGCGATCTGGCAACGACAGTAGCATGGAGGGAGGAGAATCCCGGAAGTCCAGCAACAGGATTCATGTTGACAGCCGCTTGAGGCCCTTGAAGTTTGTGACATTGATTTCATGAATCATGGGAATGGAGATATGTCGATGTTTGCAAAGCGCAAGATGAGCAGAAATGCAATGACCGGCAGAACCGGAACGAGAGAAAGCGCTGCATCTGCGAATCCGGGGGCTTGGGAGGTGAGCCAGTGGTGGTGCCAGATGCCCGGGGCCATAAAGCACACGTGCTCCTCACCGGCAACATCCCACTGGGATGTGTGCCGGCTAGGTTCTTCACAGAAGATTGCAGGCAATGGATTGAATGCTGGTGTGTAATTTGTAGGCTACACGCGGCTTGACACATTGGCCCAAACCTCCTCGCAAAATGACAGTTTAAGTTCATTTGATTGAGGTTCGAAAGGGAAACATATTGAACATGTTTGGTTCCATGTTCTCAATATGTTTCTGCCATGTCTTAGGACTGGCCAGGAACTGTTGAAGGTGTCGCAACGTCAATCACTGGTGCGAGGTCTGATACCAGCAGGAAACGGCTGCGCACAGATCCCGCTCATGTGGGTCTGTCTCTTCCCCAAACTGGTTGTGTCCTTTTGCTGTCCAAAAAGGGCAGCGCCCTCAAACGCTGGTGTATTCCCACGTTTGTGTCGACTCGGGTTTCGAGAGAGCATATCTTCCAGTTTCCACAGCTGCCGAGATGAAGAGCAACCCGCGTCTTCTGCGCGCAGTGGTCTCAGCTGACGCGCGAGCTTGGATGCGTAAGGATGGCTTCATCGAGTACTAGGATATTAAGAGATGATAATCCTGAAAGAAAAGCAAGAGGGAACTGTTGCCATCAGGAGGGCCAAGCTGACGATTGGAACATTCACCTCTTGGCATGTTATTTCCTCATATCTCGCTAGCTGGAACTGTTGCTATTGGAATGGCACTAACCACACCATGGCGTTCATTGAGCCTGATTGCGGGAGCCTGATATTTTGTGACGACATATCCCTTTCCTAAGAGGCTTGGATTTGTGAGGGATCAGCCACGGTGTCAGGCGTTTTTTGTATTGAACACAAACTGGTTTTCTGTACAAAGCTTTGAGGGGTGTCCCATACGGCCACTTTGCAAGGTGGATGACCCGGAGGATCAGATCTGGCGCAAACCGGCAGCCCTGGCGGACCGGCCCGCCGGGCGGCCAAGGTCAACGGCGTGAGGGGTGCTACGTCAGCTGAGCGGGGGCTGACCGCTGCCGCTCTTTTGGGGTTGCTTGCAATTCAAAAGGCGGAAACTAAAGGGAAGAAACATTGTTGGGGTTCTCCTACTTGAGACATACCCGCGTGACTTGCTTGAAGAAAGATCGCCATGTTCTTGAAAAAGGCAATTGTGCTTGGATAAGCAGCTGTAGCGAAACACGTGCTTCGAGGGGCTGCGACTCATTATTTCCGACTTTGACCAACAGCAGAAAGTATGTTATTTGCTGGCTTTGCGGGTCAACACGGCGAGACCACCAGCTTACCGAGTTCACATGTTTGACAGCAGGCTTTTCCAGGCGTTTGGCCAAGGTGTTATTTCTGACTAGTTGCGTGGTTGAATGTTGCTAGCCACCTGGCGTGAAGTGTTGGACACCCAAGCCCCCCCACAGGCGTTGAGACTTCCAAAAATCCGGAACCGCCTGATGGTTGACTTAAGCCTAACTGCTCAACAGAGGCCCTCTTGTGGGTTCCATGTGAGTTAGCGGGAGAGTGCCTTTCCCTGGTCACACCACACAACAGGGCAGTCCCGTTTTGAGTCGAACGTCCTGACATGGCCACAGAGCTGGTGCTGCAGCTCTCCAAACCAAGGACTTGCTGAAGCCGAGCCTGATGACTGCTGGAGGCATGCCGAAATATGCCCAACGACCCTCGGAGTGCGACATGGCGAGACTTTGTCACTTCTGAAAGTAGCCATGGCCGCTGAGAACTGGGCACCTGCGACCAAGACATCCTTGCAACTGTAATTACGGAGCCCCAATGAATGGCAACATCAAAGATATTGCAACCGAACAAATGAATGAAGTTAGTGGGAAGTCTTGTCAGGTGGAACTTGAACTGAATCTGAATTTATTCACAGTCATGCTTGCTTGCCGTGGGGTACTTTGCTGGCTGTGCCGCCTGTATGCAGAAGCTGGCTCTTACTTCAGAGTAGCCCTGGTAGTGCCAAACATGAAAACACTCACGCTTTTTCTTCGCGCTGCGCGCAGCCTCAAAGTTCTGAAACCTTAACTTGTTGATTTTATCGCAAAGCCTAGGGGGAAGAGAAGAAGGCTAAGAAGGGCAGGGAGAACGGGGCGGACGAGAAGTAGAAGACAAAGGGAACGACGGTAACGACGAGAAAGCGCTGCATCCGGTGCGCGGGGGCGTGGGCTTGCGAGGCGCGCCAGTGGTGGTACCAGATGCGCGGGGCCGTAGAGCAACGATGCTCCTTACAAAGCCCCCAACATCCCAATGGGAAGGTGCGGTGAAAGGGGATGCCCAAACACGGATACCCAGGCGGATCTGTGTCTCCAAACAGGGGAACCCACCCCGCATGTCTGACACCTTTAGACTAGCCCCAAAAGAGGGCGGCGCACACACACACACACCCATACACACAGAGGGTATACAGATACACCCTCCCCAAATCTACCACAGTTGCTCAATTGGCGCTATATGCAGTAATTGTATGGGCTATTACAGTGAATCTATTGGGGGGTCTGTGAAAAATATGTAATATATATACAATACATAGACACCCAAGTTCATATCGGTTTGGGTTTCACGGACGTATCTTTCAGCGTCCGAGGCTGATGAGATGAAGGGCAACCTGGGTTTCCTGCATGCAGTGGTCTCAGCTGACGAGCCAGCTTGCATTGCAGAACGATGGCTTGACGGCCTTTTGGCAGTTCCGTAGGCGTCATCAGCTGTTGGGACCCTAGGAGAGTGTTCTGAAAGACAGGTAAGAGGAAATTGCTGCAATCAGCAGGCCAAGCTGACGATTGCACCTTCACCTCTTGGCATGCTTTCTCCACGCATATCGCGATTAGCAGGTCTTCCATTGTTGTTTGGCTGGGTACCTTAAAGAATACATGTAGACTGTTGTCGAGGGGGGGGGGGCCGGGTGAAAACAAATTGCCAGCGTGCTTGAGACGAATCTGTCCTAGGACTGGCATGCCGAAGGTTTGAATCCAAACGCGCCCGCCTCAGTGCCTGCCTGCAAATTGGAGTTGCTTACCCAAACAGAGGGGCGGGGGCAACAAAGAGACTCCTAGAACGGGTTTGGGAATCCATGTCAATCCGCACAGGATTTGTCTCCAATGTGGTGTCCCTTTGCACCTAGCATGGTCGGAGTTTTCTCCGCATGGGACTCGTTCAAAAATTCAGCCAGGGGTTGCCTCGGGTTTCTGTTATGATGCCCAATTTTTCTTTGGCTTCCCTTGGTGCCGTAAGGAAAGGATCGGCGACCGCACATGCATAGCTTCGCACTGGGTCTCAAATCCGGAGCAATAAGCATTGTTGGAGACAACAATATCCAATCCACTGTTTTGTTGCCAATCCGCATTGGCATTATTGTCTCAAATCCACTGTTTTTGTTGAGCGGAGACAAAACGGCATCGCCCAACACCTCGAGCAACAAGTTTTTGCCGAGGACTCGCCGAAGCCAAACCTTTTGACCGCTGGAGGCGCGCTGGTGTCGTTTTGGGAAGTTGGTGGTTTTTGTGTGGTAGACAAACATATGATTGGGGACAAGGGATGAACTCAGTAATGTTGACCCCTCCCCCCCAAGAAAAAGAAAAGACACAAGAGACTCACCCATCTATCGACTCGAAGCTTCATGGTGAGATTACTTAAGGCCAAAGCTAGCTCACCGACGAAAGATCACTCCTAATCTCGGCTTTCGAGCAAAGCAAAGGGTGCACATGGTGCTGTTGAAATGGTGCTGTTGAAAGTGTTGCCGTTGTCTAAGTGACAAAGACATTGCCAGCTGAAAGATGCCACTTGCGGGTCATTACGCCCCAGCCTTTCAGCAACGCCAATGCGGCCGAACCCTGTTCACCTGAAGTCCATTCGACAAAATCGAGTGTACCCTTGAACTTGAGCGATACAAGAGTGCTTTCCGGCAGCCTGGTGCAATGGGTTAGTTAGTGTATTGCACCGTCAGTGTCTGATCCGGGTATGTGTCTTGATTGGGCACCCTTTAGATGACATATATAATTTGCATTGGCATGAATGTCCAACGCTAGTTTTGGAGGTGATTCTCTAATGAATGATATGGCCACGTTGGTGCGTGCCAACGTGCCAGAATGCGGAAGCCATTTTGTTCTTGTGCGCTTCAAGTCTGCCACTCGATATTGTGGGATGGCCACGGGGAAAAAAAAAACAAGAAATCGCTGCACCTCAGAGTCAAGGAGTCAAGCCTCATAGACAAGTTGCGCGAAACCGGCGCATTCGATGCGTTTCCGGGGGTTGTGGCTTTTTGGCACATAGCCTAATGGATGTCCAGACACTTGAGGGAGTGCCGAAGGGAGCCCTCTGAAGTCGCAGGGAGAAAGATGCAAGTCTGGGCTGACACGTTGGATGGACAAAGTCTTCGTGGTTGCGTATTGTTATGTTTATTGTCATTGGGCTTCACTGGAAGGAGCAACATCTTGAGCTCTATCATAGTCGACCATGGAGTCGACCATGGCTCGGCGCTTTCTGGCTTGTGCGAACGAAATGTTTCGGCGATCGTGCGGCAGAGGCGCGCCGGTGGCAACAGATGCCGGAGCCCGGGATGGCTTAGGTGAGTTGTTCTGCGCGCCACCCCCTTGTTTCAGTACGGTCAATAAGTTAAGTCAACGCTGGTTAAGACATGTAACCACCATTGTCAAGCAGCATCCTTTGGATTTCCTGTCAAATGGGACAAGGGTTTGATTGCTTAAACACATGGTGCCCCACCCCGGTCACTGATGTCACTGGGCATTATGCTTGTGGAAAGGCAGCAGCTGACGTGCGTGCACTTGTTCTGAGCCTCAAGAGATGCCAGCTGTTGCCTGAAATTTCAAGATGTGTTCGCCTGTGGACTCAACAGCTATATTATAGACATCTCCAATGAAGTTGTCAACAGGGGCAGGAAGACTGTAGACGACAGCTAGTCAGCAGCCTTGTCAGGGTTCCCTTGCGGGATTTCTTGGGTCGGTACACTGCCACGGAATCCGGGTAGGAAGATGGTATGGTGGAAGCCTATTGACTTCTCAGTTGGGTACTTCGTGGCGGATGGGCATGTGTCAAAACAGGAGAGGACCCACCAAAATGACCGTCATCCTTTAGTTTCACTATAAAAAAAAAGCCTCAAACAAGGGGCATCCTCAAGAGAAAACACGCAGATATGAGGCAGAGACGAGGGACCCACGTGTTCGAGCAGCCACGAGCTTGGAGCCATCTGAGAAATCCGTCGGATGACCATGGCCCAGTTCAGCACAACAGGGGGCTTGGCAAAGTTGGTCAACCCAAACAGGGGTTCCCTTTTCTACTGGGGTCACTGGGCTGCTTGGTGGTGTCTCTTTACATCCTGAAAAAGGATCTACCCGGATGCAGAAGCAAAGCCCCAGTTTTGACGAGGCCGGTGCGCTTGCAGATCTCCCAGCAGAAACTGTATATCCTCCAGGGAACTTGCTCCTGACATATTAATATGTAATTACGACCCATGAACAGCGCTTGAATGGTGCATGTGTGTGTGTGTGTGTCTGCGTGTGTGCTTTTGCGTTTGCGCGCTTTAAACAGTTCATGCCTTAGATAAAAGGACGGGAATGTGCACGTGATGGGTTCCGCTTTCCCAGGTTGCCAGCCCTATGTGCAGTCACGACAGGGCCAACATTGCAGCAGCATGCTCAGGGCACATCCACATCGGTGTCAGCATGTGTCGACCATCCCACCTTCCAACCTGCTGGCATGACAAGTACTTAGCCTCCCGCAATGCTTGTTAAATGCCCCCCAAAAGTTTCAAGAAGGGAGGGGGGTCGTGGGCCAGTCCAGTGGTTCCTTGGCTTTTTGCACCTGAGGTGAAGAGCCACGCACGGGCAGTGGGATGCTCAGCAACTGGGTGGGAAATGCGAGGCAAAGTGGAGATCCGGTTTGTCACGTAGGGCAGCTACTGGTTGCTTTCATTTTGATTTGTTTGAAATCAGGCTTGGGGGAGTTCCCCAAAGGTTGAAAAGAGACTCAGTCTATGAGCTGTCCTGTGGCTTGAACGTATGTTGGTACATATGGGTGCCACGTTTTTGAGGGTGCCCTTTTTGGGTTAATCGGTTGAATGGGAGACCGAACAAACAGCGCCATTTGGGGGTCCCCCTATTTTGACACATACCCTTAATATGGGTACCAAAAGGAAACTACGCTTTGTGTTAGTCCCCCCCTTTCACAGCAAACCCGCGCTGTCCTTTGTGAGTGGATGGCTTATCCTATCTTTCAGCTGAACTGTACATAGGAAGTACAGATAGGGGGAAGGCTACACAAATATTTTCGGGATGGGGGAGGGATAGGGGGGGCACCTGTGTCACAATAAGTTTCAAAATTATCTCCGTACTCTATGCTGTCGTACTTCCAGGAGTCAGGCCTGCAGTGCGATCCAACAAGGTATTGGTCTGGGGGAGACACGTGTCCTCTTTTTGTTTGTCCCCATCCTCATCCCACCATTTCCTGTTGTTCTGGTCGTTCTCGTGGTCGTTTCTGACGTGTTTGTCATCTTTCCGTTGATGTCATTTGTGTTCTTGTCATTCGTGATAGCCCGTTGATGGCTGCGTTGTTGCTGGGCCACGAGATGCGTTTCCAGGTGGCGACCCCCATGCGCAGACGTGACGCTGCAGACGACCCGGCAGCAAACCCAGGGCTATGGCGCTGATAATATTTGGGGCGCAAGCTGTCAGCAGTTCATAGCGACTTCTTGCACCGATCTTGTTTCAGGCTGCGATTGGAAGCCGCACCATAGCCAAGAGCCTTTCGTTGTGGTTACAATGTTCTTTCAAAAGTCCGCCTTGCAGCCTGCATAGAAAGCTCACTTCCTGAGTTGATGGACTTTAAACTTTTTGGAAAGACCACTTTAGTGGGAAATAAAAAGTTCAGACTTTTTTTGGCCAATCAACTTGGGAAGTGAGAAAGAACAATTGTTAAGTGACTGTGAACCTTTGACACGAAAGGGTATTTTTGATGGGTGCAGCATGGTATCGTAGTAGTTTTCTGAAATGAACCCTATTGCCAACAAACGTAGAATTGGCAGTCCTCTTGGAGAGGCCTCCTTCTCCTGGCAACCATTGCCCGAAAGAGGGCTTGCGCGAGGCTTCCGAGCTGGGCCGCGTCCGGGCGGCCGAGAGCCCCAGCGGCGGCTTAGAGCCAAAAACCTGGGAGTTTGCGGCTGCTCCAAGCATTCAAACTCACAAGCCACGTTCTGTTCTGTGTGAAGGGAAACCGAAGGAAACCCGGGCAGGGAAAACCCTTGGGCCACAGGTAAAACCTGGGTTTCTAAAATTGGTTTGCACTCAATTCAAGCTTTTGGTGATGCAGGTGCGGCTCGTTGGAGTTGGCAGACCTTTCCGAGCTGGTCAAAAGCGAAGCCCAAGAGAGTCCACCATTTCTTGTGGTTCGCCCACATCAGCCACAGCAATCCAGCTGGGCAAAAATCCAAGAGACCTTGCCTTTCCGGCCTAACCCGATGATACATTGTAATTTGGTCCCTTGACTGGTATTACTAATCACCCAGATGTACTGTCCTTTCTGGCCAAAGTGGACATCAGCTTTTGGAGCCTTTCTGTAGCGTGACGTCTTGCGCTGACAATAATATTGCACCTTCTCAGGAAATTCATTTCCGAGCAACTGAAACTTTCACTGACCAGGACCGAAATGCACGAAGATAACCAGGAAACCCAAGGTTTCCAAGCAACACTCGCAGCAGTTGGAACGCGCTGACTCCCCATGATCTTTGATCCACTGGCAAGCCTGCACCTTCCAATTCCTCTAGAAGACAGGCCCATGGGTACTACGATGTGTGAAAGGGTTAAGGCATGAACAAAGTGAGCGAACCCTCAGACTGGTGGGGTGCAGGAGTGAAATGCTGAGTACATGAACCCACACGTGAAAGCGGGCCCAAACGGCCATGGGGTATGTGGATGTACACATGCCTTTGAGGGACGGCAAGCGTCATCCGGACTTGAAGCGTTCTCCTTTAGGTGGCGACCCCACTGCGCCGACGTGACACAGCTGATGACCCGGCAGCATGCTCAGGGAGCTGTGTCAGCTATGTAAGGAAAATTCCAGTCTTGTGGTGTTTCAAAGACACATCCGGCCAGCAAATCTCTTTGACAGTTGCCTTGTCAAGTCCCACTCGCTTGCCATGCATGTTTCGGTTCCAAGGCAAACCCCGATCCGAAATTCACCAAACCAGTTTAGTCCAAAGCAGTTTCGTCCAAAGCGAACTGGAGGGCTGCCAATCGGGTCCCTGTTTTTAAACACCCCTGCCAGGCTAGCCCTAAACCCCAAATCCCAGACCCTGAACCGTAAAACCCCAAAACCTGAACCTCAACAGGAGCCCTAAAATACAGGACCCCCCGTGCTGGCTGAGGTCGCAGATTCCAGCCCCATGCTGCCATCTATGCTGCGCCCAGCGCCCGGGGCCAAGAAATGGAGTGTTGGGTTCCCAAAGTAGCGGTTGCCCCCTTTTCTTCTGTTTTTTTTGGGGGGGCTTCCCTTGAAATCAGCTGCTTCTAGTGGTTTAAAAGAAGTCAAAAGCTGGTTGATGTATTTCCCTCTAAGCTACTGCTTGGGGGTGACCTTGCGGGTAAAATCAAGGGGGCCCGCCGGTTGCGGCGCCCCACCGAAGGGCCTCTCATTTTGAGACCGGCCCAGACCCAGTAACTGGGAACTCTGCGACAATTGCCGTGAAGGCCACAATGGAAGCAGCACCAGTCAGCATCCACGCGCCTGAAAGCCTGAAATCCGGAATTTAGCGATAGCTGTTCAGGAATTCCCTATCCAAAAGTGACATGCCATCCGAAGGGCACAAAACTTCACTGTTTCTGCCTTTCTGCACAGTCACCGGCTTCCCGGAGAAATCGTTCCTGCCCACGAAATCTGGATGCGCCGCCTTGCGCCTCCGTGCCAATGGGATTTGCGATGCGTCCGTGCCAGAAGTAAGAAAATGCCGCGCCTGCCACGAAATCTGTACTTGACCTTGCGAAAGTGCTGCGCCCGCCACGAAATCTGTAATGGGATTCCCTCCCAGCTTCTCTGAATGGTGCACTGAGCCCAAGAGCAACCTGGGCTTCAAGTGACCACGTCAAGTTATGTAACACCTTCACTCATTGGTGAACATAGCCTTGGTCCACATTCAAAACTAAAAATGCGCCTTCAATCCGCATTATTGCCTTGCATGTTGAATGGCTGGTTGGAGTAGGGACACATGCGTGAATGTACATTGAGCCTCCGGACGCAGCTCGGGCCCAAGGCCCCACCACTTTGAACTCCTGCTTTCTTTTGTCCCGCCCTGGCCCACCCTAAGGAGGTTTCCGAAGGGAGGCCGAATTCGTTACTGCCGTGGGCGTGTGTGAGTAACCACTCAGACATTTTCTGGGCATTACCGCTGCTGATATGCCAACACCACTTTTACTTGTGTGATTGGCATTCTGGGCAGCTGACATGCCACTGCTACAGCGCCAACGAGACTAGTGGCATCCTTTACAGACGTTTCCCGATCTGCTTTGGAAAAGCGAGTGCTGCCGAGAAGTGAGAAGTGAGCTGGGATGCACATATGCATATGAATATATACTTGTGTGTGTGTGTGCAGCATGGGAAAGGTAAGGATTTGGCATTCCACCAAGGGAATTAGTGGGATCCCATAAGTCGCCCACATTTTGCAGCCAACTTGCTCATGGAGATTTCCCAAGCCAACAGATCGCCCGGTCAAGAAAGGGGAAATCCCAAAGTGGGTGGTTTGCCTTTTGGATCTGCCACAACAAAAACCGGAAACCCCCTCAACAAAACACACCCACATGGCTGGCTCGTTGCTCTCCAAGCGGGCGGCGCCTGCCTCAAGGCCCCAGGCTGCTCCCCTGGTGCCAATCGCCCAGCTGAGCTCGCAGCTTCGGCATGCCTTGCGCGTCCGCGCTCGCGCGTTCGCGCCAAGTCGCGCGTTTGGTAGAGTCCAGTCAGCGTGGTGCATTGTGCGTGGTGCTTGGCTAGGTTCCGATCGCCAGGTTCATGCCGCGTTGCCGGGTGCGAGCTCGTGTTCTCAGCAAGTCAGGCTGGGTCGCCGGAGCTGAAGATGAACATGTGATGAGTCCAAGACCTCAAAATTGGGGGTTTCTCTTCAGTTCTCTGTGAGCCAACCCAACCAGCGAATTTAGTGGTTGCTCTTTGGCTTCTCTTTTTTACCAACCCCACACAACTTGTGTTTTGCCTCAAACAAACAGAACCACCCAGCCCAAATTGTGGTTCAAGCTAACTTGAAGGTGCTCAACAAAATGGATGCACTGCTGCCTTGTTTTGCCATGCAAGCTCCATAACACAAGTCCCGGTGCATGCTCATCGTTTCTTGGGCTCATGGCTAAAATATGTAGACTAGTGGAATGACCTTTGTGCAGGGTTGCTTGAAGAGATTTTGTGGCCTGAACAGCAATCCAACATTGAGTCGCGTGCTACCATTCAGAAGATGTGCAATCTGAAATTGTCGTCTACTTTGCAGTCACTGAGTCTCCTGCAGAGAACTTGCCAGGCATCCGTGCCTTCACCAATGCCCGAGGCGGGCCGATGTCTTATGTTGGCCAAAAGGGCCGACAAAGAACAACGATCTGACAGTCTCATGTCAGATGTGTCGTGCATTTTACTTGGTCTCAAGCCAAAGTCATCCAAGAAGCACGGACAAGTGCAGCCTGGCAGCTCCCAACTCTTTCCCCCCTGTTGTCAGCGCTGTTGCTTTCTGATTCATTGCTTCTTGTTGCCACATGTGAGGGGATTCTCCCACACGGCTTAGCCTTCATGTGTCTTTGTTCGACAGTCACCGATGCAACCCTTAGTTGGTGGTTTGGATTGGTGGTTTGCCTTGGTGGTTAGATTTGAACTCCTTCTTCTTGTAGAGGGTTGTTGTCAAAAGGTAAAATGGGGGGGGTTCATCAAAAACAGGCTGGGGGGAGAGGGAGAATGCCCTCTTCCCTGTTTGGCTTTCACTGTTTCCCACAAGAGTATTTGGAGGGTGCAACCTCCCATGGACACGTCCCATTTTTGTCGGCAGGTGTCGTTGGGAAGTCCGTTTGGTCATGGTGGGCCATAAGGTCGATGGGAAACAACCCCAAACCTCTAAACCACCCATGCAGATCAAGCAGAGGGAAGCTGAAGGTGAAATTCGCAGAGCAGGCAGCAGCAAGCTCTTTTCCATGGACCTCATGGATGCCGAAGGGGCCCTGGCCCTGGGACTTCCGCGTATGGTTGATGCCCCCTACCAAGCCGCGCCCTTTTTTTCAGCACAAGTGCCTAGGAGCGAAACGCATGTTCACGCCGATCAGGAGTTGGTTGGTCGCCAAGTGAAATCAAACTGAATCGGTTTGTGACAGTCCTTCAGTCATTTGAAGACAGACCTGTGTTTGTGAGGCTCCACCGCGGTGAAGCAAAACCAGGGGCCCTTGGTCTCCACGTTTTTCTTTGCGGTCATGGAGCCACGTAGTTGGGAAAAAGCCTGAGGCCTGTACCAGATGCACCTGCTTCGGCTCTGCAGTGGACAAGCTTCCAGCTCAGACAAAATGGGATGGCCCGAATATCGCAGGGTCCTCTTGGTAGGGATGTGGGGGGCTGTCCGACTTTCGACCATGGCTCTCAAATAATTGTGTACCTGGCTAGAATATTTCGAGAGTGGTGACGTTGACAGTTTCATTCTTGCACCTGCCCCTCTTTTCCGCTTTCGACCCGCAGAGCGAAAGGGGGGACATTCTGCCAGAAAGCAACCACAGAAACAAGTCGTTGGGTGGCTGTTTGGCAGTTGCGTTCGCATGAAGCGCCCGCCACCCCGGATACATTTGGCCGTAACCAAAGAGCAGCAGTTTGCCTATTCAGGCCCAGACATGACTGAAAATGGCAAAGTTCTATCTGCTTGGCTCGTCAAGTTTCCCCGAGTTCAGACTGCAATCGACTGCGTCTGGACACGTCTTGTGGGGCTAGCCTCGGAGCAGCCCGGTTGCCACATCCAGTTCATACTTTGGATTCCCTACATGTTGCGAGTCAACCAAACATATCCAACCACAACACCCGGGCGACTGGTGTTAAACCATGGCAAGCCAGATTCCCGTGTTCCCTTGCAATACTCAATCCACCGCATCAACAGCTTAAAGTTAAAGCTCATTTACTCAAGGTTCCCGCAGCCCAGAACGCTTCTGGTCTAGGAGGACTATGTTCTTCCAGGGCCCCCGTACAAAATGTCAATCTCAATCCTTGCTGGCACTATTCATGTTTCACCTGTGCGTTACGGTCTACCTTTGCTTGGGCGGTGTTCTACCCAAGTCGTTGGACGGAATGGCAATGACCAAATTTAGCAGAATTAGGTGGTTCACAAAGAGGAAGAACACTATGAGCACCGTGGAAACGTAGGACTCCCACCCGCGCCTGTTTTTGCCAATCAATATGATAACCGAATTCCAGTCAGAGTTTTAGTGAGTTGTTGGCTTCCTAGTTGCTCCAATTATTTTGCAAACTTGGTGTTCCACTGCAACCGTTGGGCCATAACCGATAATTCTTAATCTACCTAGGCGGACGGAGATCTTCGATTTTTGCGGCCCCCTACATAGTTGGCACGCTGTATCACTGTTTGCGTGGCATATTTGAGCTTCAGGCCTATGTGGCTGTGAGGTTCGGTCAAGATAATAGCCTGTCTTTTGGCATGGGCATGAGAGTCACACAAGTTCCCGAGTTCTTCCAGGTGTTTTTGGGACGGTATGTCACATGCCCCCGATGCACTGTGTCAAAATCGGACCCCTCAAAGTGGTGGGCTTCCTCAAAGCTACATTCTGACCGCTCATCGTGTCCCGAGGTTCTTTCCGATGATAGTTGTGAAGAAGATCTACGAGGTCAACGGCGCTTCGGTGAAGCCGGGGAACCCCAGGCGGGGTCGACTCGAGGTGGGCTTAGACCTGGTGGAGCCCTGGGAAGTCTACTTGGGGTATGAGATAAGCGCCAACCCACTCAACTCCACGAACCATGTTTAATGAAAGGCATCCTGCAGCTCAGGTTCCTTCGGGAATGAGGGGCGTTAAGGTATGGCAGTTTTGATGCACTGCTATGACTTTTGGATTGGGAGCTCATGTCAGAGCTAGAAATGGAGCCCTTCCGCTGCTTGGTTTCCTGCGGGTGTCGCTTCATGGAAGCAGAAGGTTCGTGGGAAAGTTGTCTTTTGAAGATGTGCAGGCTGGTTTGGTGTGGGTGGAGAGGTACCTTGATTTGGCCATCCATGAAAGCGAATTGTCCGGATTTGGAGCGGCCAATAACGAGTGTTTCTAAACTTGTAAGATTTCCACGCTTCGAGGGTTTGCACGGCTTTAGGCCTTCTGTTTGACGTTTCCACTGTGTTTTCTTTGTTGGTGGGGGCAGTCATGTTCAACCTGGGGATCGAGTCACAAGGTTTTGAGGCTTTGAGCCGGGCCAGGTTCTGCCGCTATCCCATGGAGCTTACCCTGGACGAGCGGGGCGCCTCCATCACGGCTCTTCTGGAGGCAACGCGTTTCTGGTGGAGCCCCTTGCGGTTGATTTCTGGGTCTGAAAATAGCAGGACGCCCCCCCGCAACTGGTGGTTGTGGTGGTTCCTTCATTCAAACCACCCCAAAAAAAGGTGGGTGTAAAGGGAAGCCAAGAGCATACCAAGCACAGGCCTCGATTGAAAAACCCTAATGGCTCCAATGTGAAATAGGGCGCAGGGTGAAAGGAGTGGAGGGGAATCAGAGGCACACCTGCACAAATCCATATTCTGGATGGATATGTTTTTTCTATGCATGGATACACTTGAGCTGCGCCATGACCTCCGGTAATGAACAAGTAGCAAGGGGGGGTGCTTTGGAGCCCCCAAAGACAACATGCAGACTGCGAAGGCTTGCGAAAGTACCTAAAGAAGGTCCCGCCACGAAAGAGGCACGAAAGCAATTCTTTGAGGAACCGAAGTCGCGGAAGAGTCCGCGAAAGCAAACTCATGGTACCGCTTTTTAAGACAGGAGTTTTCGGCACCGCGTGGGCGATATCCATATTTATGGAAGACCACTTTCTTTCTTTGGAAAGTCAAGTTGCAAGGGATGTCCGTGGCAGCTTGCTGCTTACAAGACATCCTGCGCTCATTCTTAGGGGGGCCAAGTGGGAGCTGGATGGCGCCGTTGCATTGCGTTGGCCGCTTCTTCACTGGCACCCCTACAGGACAGTTTGTTCTTATGGTGGCCCCTGCAATGTTGCATGTCCGGGTGTTGTCTGCCAGTTGCTGTATTATCCAGCAACAGTTTGCCAGAATTCTCTCCAAGGTAAACTGGGGTAGGGTAGTATAACTACTGGCGGCTACCCTATATAATATACATGTTTTTGGTTGGATAGCGTCTTCTCAGTCTGCATAATCGATCACAAGATTAGCTCAACGCATTCTGCACCTTTTGATCAACCGCATCTGTAACATTGCGAGACGTGCTGAGCTTTAGACGAGAGAGAGAGAGAGAAGAGAGAGCAAGCACGCATTCGTACTGTGCAGTGCAACAAAGAGCTGACATACGATTCTCGTTGTTGCTCAACTAGACCTTGTTCCTGAGAGCCTGAGAGCGGGGGAGAGAAATGGAACACATTCTTGGGGCAGAAACGCCTTGCCAAGAGTCAGGACTTCTGGAAATGTGTCCATTTCGCCTGGTACAGCAAGCCTGTCTTTGGAGGGTACTAGTAGCACAGAGGCCAGCCATGCTGTGTCAGGATGAAGCCAAACCGAATATGAGCGCGCACAAGTAGGATGTGTCCTGTCAGGTTTTTTTTTAAAATTGTGGTTGTACATCGATGCACAACGTTTGTGCTTACAACCTGGGGGGGCGGGGGGGGCGTTCGAAGTAGTGAAACACCCAATCTTTCTGTTTCATGGCCGAACCATTTGGGCGCGGCTGGGGCCTTGTGCCAGGATGGGTCGATCCCGGGGATTCCCTACAAGTTCGTGAGCCTTGCGCAGATCAGTCGGATCCGTAGAGATGGCTGAATCGTGTGCCAACCAGGGACCCCGTGTTTGGGCTTATGTTGGAAGGCAAGCGAGCTTCAATGAAGTTTTTGCAACCTATGCAAAGTGGTTGATCCTTTTCAAACTATCTTGGGTGGGCGACTCCCAAATTAAGAAGAAGCAGAGGAGTAACGAAGCTGCAAGCAAGTGAGCAACCCAGCAAACACACAAGCTAGCAAGCGCACAAGCTAACAACGGTGCTTAGGTGTATCCTTGCTGTGTTGTGTGTTTGCTTTGTCGACGGCTCTTTTTGAGGCACTTGACAAAGTAGCTAGCCTGTGTTGTTTTTCTCCTGTGGCCTTGCTCCTGGCTTGGCTGTGCCCCCTAGCCTGCCGCCTGACTCACTGACTCACTGACTCACTGACTGCCGACAAGCTGACGACCTGATGTACCAAAACCAGAACAGAACATGCAAAGGGCACCCAGCAAGCAGCAAGATGGACACAGAAGCCACAGCCTAGTGGCAGCCTTTTAGAACATGATCACCAAGGCGAGGCTACAAACACCAATTTGCTTAACCAAAACAGTGGCTTTCTCCTGTTCCCCCATGGTAAGCCCCACTTCCTGAGTTCCTTGCACTTTAAGCTCTTTAGGAAGAAGACCATGTTGGTTGCAAGTTTGGACTTTGCCCGTTCACTGAACAACCCGACAAGTGGCACGCCGGAGACCCCGGCGCCCTAGGCTCGGCACCGGTGGGGAGCAGCTGCGACATCATGGGCGTGGTGCAGACGCTGGAAGACCCCGCGCCTAGATTTGATTCGTGGCTACTGGGGTAGACTTAGGCTACATTTTGCATTTTACCTGTGACTCAAAGTGAAACAAACAATGAAATATACAGTCTACAACTGGGCCTGGGTTTGTCTCATGTGGCTGATGTCCGCTTGGTTTTCTAAGCCAACCCCCCAAGAAAGGGTAGCCTCGACAAAGCAGAGGGTTTTTTCATTCTTTCTGTTGGGGTTGAATGGGAAACCGAAGGGAACCACAATTTCGAGACAAGCCCATTTTGGAATGACTTTAAAGTGGAACACCCTTGACTCAAACATGCTGGTATGCGTGAGAAGCCCACATAAAAGGGCCCACAATGCCAAATGATAATACCAAACGCAAGTATTATTGAGCTTCAGGATGACTAAGAGATCGACATGAATGAGAGGTGAAATTGAATATTATCCTCTTAATGGATCAAGATAGTTAGTATTAGAATGTCTATCAAAAGTTATCCGTTGTTAATAAATAGATAAATAAAACATTTCAGTAATGATGATATTGACATATGTATCCATGCAATATACTCATCAATCTAGATTCAAGGATGTTGTGGCCCTAGATTAATAGACAAATTCACGAGCTAACAATGAGAGTCACTCAGCATAACATATCAGAAGCAGGACAAGCAAGGGGGGATAAAGGTATGGGGAAATGATTAAACCCTCCAATCCCACGCGGAGGAAAATGGCAGATGCAAGCGACTGGTTCCCCGGAAACCCCAAACCTTTCGGAGCCACTGCATCCCCGCAACACTGCACAAACCACCTTCTCTACGCCAACCCCAAACGACCCTAAATCAAAAACAAACCAGAAAACCAACCCTACGACAACCTTCAATCAACCCTCGGCATCCACCCTCAACCAGCCCCAAAGCCACCTCATAAAACCCAAAGCAGCCCAAGGTAGCACTGAACAACCCGTCAAAATCAGCCAGCCGAACCTCCAGCTGAGCCGTGGTGCAAATATAATATGTTACAGACAAGTGTTTTTGAAAAGTTGAAGTTATATGTTTTACAAAGTGCATGACATTATGTACATAATACATACATCACAGTACATTACAATCATTGCATTACATTACATTACATTACATTACATTTACATTGCCAAAACCCATCCATCCCTCCCACCCATCTATCCGTACATCCATCCATGCATGCATGTGTGCATGCCTACAAAATACGTGTTGGTATACACATGTACAGCGATACACATGCATATATATATATATATGTATGTATACATACATAAATATAACTATACATGCATGAAGTCAATGCGCGTGTCACACCCATCCAGCTTGTTTATGGTCACACCTCCCCTCCCATTTTGCCCCGTGGTTTAGGTAAGCGTGGCTACCCGCAGTGGACCACGCATCAAGAGACAAGTCCGAGACCCAGCGATTTGCAGACGCGGCTTCCTCTTTTCCTTGCAGAGGGGCCAGCAGTCTCAGGTTGGTCTTGCAGTCATTGGATGAAACACCAAGGGAGCATGGGCCTGAAAGGGGGAAGGTTCCGTTTGATTACTTTGAGCACACCTCCCCGCGTTTAAGAAGACACCCCGACCAGACAAATGCATAGCGATCCAACAGCTGGTGTAATACTCGAGCAAATCCCCCCTTTCTTGCGGAGCGTTGCTCCAGGTGTTGATTCCATTTTTTGACAGAGTGACCTGAGCCGAAAAGCTGCCGGCGGTTGTTGTCCTGATCCGGACGGTGACTTCGATTGGAGCAAGCATGTGCTTGTTGACACTCCTTTCATATGGGAGTCATATGGAAATTGCTACTCCGCAGATAGGGGCCGTAGATGCTTGCGCGATGCTGTGTTTTGGGCCAATGTTTGCTCAATTGCTGCTTTTTGACCTTCAGCCGCTTACACGAGCAAAGTGTGCATGACTTCTGGTAGTGGTGGAATCCAGGTCTGGTGGGTTTGTCGTAAATGGGGGTAACCCGGACAACGGAGCCGGTTTCCCTTTAGCTAGCCCCAAATCAATCCAGCACACGCAACATGCACGGTTTCTCCAAAAAGACACCCTTATACCACCCCCAAAGAGATACCACCTCCCAAGCAAAAAAACAACGGGAGGGTTCCCCCCGAAGTTTCACCAACTGGGGTTCCACCTCCGAAAGCCACCGGTCGCAGCTTGCGCTCAGGTGATCTTGATCGACAGCTCCAGCGCTTCTGTTGCTAGAATCCCAGAGCCTGTCCCCGTGTGAGCATTGCCAGACTCATGTGGGGTTTGTTTTTTGGGGGTAGGTTGATCTAAAGGAAACCAAAGCCCTGTTGGGGCTGTTTTAAAGCGAACCCAAAAGGATACCACCTGTGTTCGGGGTGCCCATAGATTGACATAAAAACCCACCTACTGTAAGGGCCAAAAACAAATTGGCATGGGGGCGGCGAATTTCTCAAGTCCATGTATTGCCGCTGGTCGGCAGAACTCAACCATCGCCTTTGTGGTCATGAAACATGTTTTCTTTGGAGGGATGTTGTTTTTGGAACATTGTGAGGTGGTTCCTTTAGCAACAATGCTGTTTTCTGGCTTCCCTTCCAACTACATGAGAAGGTCACTCACTCCTGGTGAGTCTTTCTAAGGGCGCCCCGCCACACGCAAGCAGGCACCAGCACATGGGTAGAGGTGCAGCTAATCATGGTTTTTGCCGCGTCCCTTTCTTGAAGCAAGCGTGTCTGGTACTTGCCGAAAATATGGGGTATTTATCAGTCATAGCCAGTTCTCCCTCAACCGGGAAAACATAAACCCAGCCATCAAGCAAATGGAAGGATCAAGCTGTCGACGGCACCCTAATCCGTCAATCTGGCATCAGCTTTAAACCCCTCCGAAGGAACCAGGGGTTGCCTCAACAAAGACAAGCCAATTGAGGCACTGTTTTGTGGTGACTGAGGATGTTGAACGAAGACCAACAAGAAACCTTCCTTCCTTTGTGTCCGTACTTTGAGAAAGTTGAACCCTTTGGCGCCGTCAAAGCACACTTTGATTTGAGGCTGGTAGGTCCGGTCATCACAACCCTTCATGGACATCTTAGACAACTATGGTGAGGATTTCTGCTAAATTACTGCAAAAAGCGCACCTCAAGGTGCAACATGCATGGTCGTAGCCCAAGTTATTGAAACAGTTCACAATTTGGGTCGTGTGGGACACTACCCCACGGAGCTGGACTACTGCATCACGTTGTGGTTTATTTGGTTACTTGGCGTTGCGGTATGTGTGAAGCTACAACTCGCTTGGGTAGCAAATGCTTCGGGTAGATTCCAAGCTTGACATTGTCCCTGAGAGCTCAGGCACTGAATCTTTGGGCAGAGAAGGCCCGAAGGGCTGTGGAAGAGGGGCTGGCACTCTCCCACTTGGGGCCACAGTCAAAAGCTGGGCAAGTTACCCTGACCAAAGCAAAACCTAACCCAAGCATGAGACATTAACACCCGGATACAAAAACACACGACACACACACACACACACGACACACACACACACGCACACGCACACGCACACGCACACGCACACGCACACGCACACGCACACGCACACGCACACGCACACGCACACGCACACGCACACGCACACGCACACGCACACGCACACGCACACGCACACGCACACGCACACGCACACGCACACGCACACGCACACGCACACGCACACGCACGCACGCGCACGCGCACGCGCACGCGCACGCGCACGCGCACGCGCACGCGCACGCGCACGCGCACGCGCACGCACGCGCACGCACGCGCACGCACGCGCTACGCACGCGCGCGCGCACACGCACACGCACACGCACACGCACACGCACGCACACGCACACGCACACGCACACGCACACGCACACGCACACGCACACGCACACGCACACGCACACACACACACGCACACACACACACACACGCACACACACACACACACACACACACACACACACACACACACACACACACACACACACACACACACACACACACACACACACGCGACACACACACACACACACACGCGACACACACACACACACACTCACACACGCGACACACACACGCGACACACACACGCGACACACACACGCGACACACACACGCGACACACACACGCGACACACACACACGCGACACACACACACACACGCACGCACGCACGCACGCACGCACGCACGCACGCACGCATGCACGCACGCACGCACGCACGCACGCACACGTGACACACACACACACACACACGCACGTGACACACACACACACACACACACACACGTGACACACACACACACACACGTGACACACACACACGTGACACACACACACACACGTGACACACACACGTGACACACACACACACACGTGACACACACACACACACACACACGTGACACACACACACACGTGACACACACACACACACACGTGACACACACACACACACACACGTGACACACACGTGACACCAACATCCAGGGTCAAACAAGTTTGCAGTGCTGGCAGTTGGAGCGGTTAATTTCCTGAGATGGAAAGGCCAGGGAGGTGCGGGTGCTTTTGCGACCCGCGACCTCCCCAACGCTGAATTGGCCTGAGCTGTTTTCCTTGACGGGCTCGGCATGCATTCTTGCAGCTCGTGCATGTAAACCGTTCCAGCGAGCTCCCGCAGAACGGCAGCCAAGGGTTTGCAAAAACGCACGCGCGTGTTGTGGTCCAATTCCCTGCGAGCAGCGGGCTTCAACCTTTCTCAAGGCTTAAGACTTGGGAAGCACGTGAACCGGAAGCCGAGCCAAATGAAGAGATTACCAAGTCTCCTCTAAATACACCATTACAACCCCGCCCCACCCTCCGCACATACCCGGCCCAGTAGCCCCCAACCCACAGGAAAGCCGATCGACCATGGCAGTTTGGATGCCAGGCAGAGACTGAACTGGCTGCTGGAGCCCCAGATCTTTATAGTGAACTACTGGGAAATGACTTCGCTAATGAGGAACTTCCGTTTCAGCTCGGGTGTGTTGCTGAAACCATATTTGGAGTGTTGACAGGAAGGCGTAAGTAGTGTTCTGCAGTGAAGGGTAGATGCGGTGTAGACCAGAAGCATTCCCCAAGAAAGCGCTCGAGGTTGAATGCTCGAGTTTGAGGTCGTGCCCGTAGATAAGAAGGGCAAACATTAGTGTTGCGCAAGTTTTCTTGAAGCAACCTGCCCCCAGCCCTTGAAAGGGGAACAAAAAGGAGGTTTTTGAGACAATAGCGGTTCAAGCATGTTCAAGCATGTTCAAGCAAAGGGCTGCCCGCGTTCAGATTCACCACAGTGGCTCAGTGGTTTAACTTACCTGTATAGTAATGTTAACCCTGGATGAATGAACCCGACCTATTAATAGGGGGCGCTCCCTTCAAAAGTGATGACCTCCCCGGAAAAAGGGGACACCCCCTATTAAGTGACCAGTGGTGTATTAATCCGAGGTTCCCGTCAGGTCACTATCGGAACCCTTCAAGCACCCAGAAGGACAACATCTTGTTAGCTATCATAGTCTTGAGGCCACAACCTCCTGAAGAGGGTGGGTCATGAAGGATCCCCATGCACAAAACCCTTGGACCCACTTTTGGGCGACCCCAAATGGGCTCTAACACATGAGTGTCAAATGAAGGCTACATGATTGCCCTTTAGTGTAATCGATCGGAACCGGTTTAGAATATAGAGTCCTCTGACCACTGGGAGCCAGCACCAGGCCATTGCGCTGAGGGGCATTGCCAATTGGGCGCACTTGGGCCTTTTCACCGGGTGGAATAGCTTTGCCTGGATTTGGGGCGTGGCCCCTGGCCAACACAACCCATCGCTCTCTCTCTCTCTCTCTCTCTCTCTCTCTCTCTCTCTCTCTCTCTCTCTCTCTCTCTCTCTCGTCAGCCCTTTCATTTCCCAGGCGGGCTCCGTGGTCTTCGTGCGCCACGCCAAGATCAGCGACTACTCGGGCCGCACACTGGACCTGAATGAGGCGGCCGCAACAAGGGTGTTTTGAAATGGGGGGGTCCCTTAGACAGGGGCCACCGCGTAGCGTGTGGATTGCACCTGAGAGTGCTTGAAGTATTCAAAGCCTCGTGTTGGTCAAAGTGTTGACCTTTGCTTTGACTTGGTGTATTCTGGGAGCGGCGATTTGTGGCAATTATTTGGTGGTCGTTTTGGTGAATGCACCAATTGAATATTTCAGCTACGTAGCGTTGTCCAATTTTGTTCCGACTACCCAAAGCAGTTCATTTGGTCGTGCATTGCTTTGCAAATGCACGTTTGGCCCCATACGGTGTGTGTGTGTGTCACGTGTGTGTGTGTGTGTTTGTGTTTTTGTGTTTTTGTGTTTGTGTGTTTGTGTGTTTGTGCGTTTGTGTTTTTTGTGTTTTTGTGTGTTTGTGTTTTTGTGTTTTTTTGTTTTTGTGTGTTTGTGTGTTTGTGTGTTTATGTGTTTGTGTGTTTGTGTGTGTTTGTGTTTTTTTTTGTGTGTGTGTGTGTTTGTGTGTTTGTGTGTTTGTGTGTTTGTGTGTTTGTGTGTTTGTGTGTTTGTGTGCTTGTGCTTGTGTTTGTGTTTGTGTTTGTGTTTGTGTTTGTGTTTGTGTGTGTGTGTTTGTGTTTGTGTTTGTGTTTTTCTGTGCGTGCGTGCGTGCGTTTGCGTTTGCGTTTGCGTTTGCGTTTGCGTTTGCGTTTGCGTTTGCGTTTGTGTTTGTGTTTGTGTTTGTGTTTGTGCTTGTGCTTGTGCTTGTGCTTGTGCTTGTGCTTGTGCTTGTGTTTGTGTTTGTGTTTGTGTTTTTGTGTGTTTGTGTGTTTGTGTGTTTGTGTGTTTGTGTGTTTGTGTGTTTGTGTGTTTGTGTGTTTGTGTGTTTGTGTGTTTGTGTGTTTGTGTGTTTTTTGTGTTTTTGTGTTTTTGTGTTTTTGTGTGTTTGTGTGTTTGTGTGTTTGTGTGTTTGTGTGTTTGTGTGTTTGTGTGTTTGTGTGTTTGTGTGTTTGTGTGTTTGTGTGTTTGTGTGTTTGTGTGTTTGTGTGTTTGTGTGTTTGTGTGTTTGTGTGTTTGTGTGTTTGTGTGTTTGTGTGTTTGTGTGTGTGTTTGTGTGTTTGTGTGTTTGTGTGTTTGTGTGTTTGTGTGTTTGTGTGTTTGTGTGTTTGTGTGTTTGTGTGTTTGTGTGTTTGTGTGTTTGTGTGTTTGTGTGTGTGTTTTGTGTGTTTGTGTGTTTGTGTGTTTGTGTGTTTGTGTGTTTGTGTGTTTGTGTGTTTGTGTGTTTGTGTGTTTGTGTGTTTGTGTGTTTGTGTGTTTTGTGTTTTTGTGTTTTTGTGTTTTTGTGTTTTTGTGTTTTTGTGTTTTTGTGTTTTTGTGTTTTTGTGTTTTTGTGTTTTTGTGTGTGTTGTGTTTTTGTGTTTTTGTGTTTTTGTGTTTTTGTGTTTTTGTGTTTTTGTGTTTTTGTGTTTTTGTGTTTTTGTGTTTTTGTGTTTTTGTGTTTTTGTGTTTTTGTGTTTTTGTGTTTTTGTGTTTTTGTGTTTTTGTGTTTTTGTGTTTTTGTGTTTTTGTGTTTTTGTGTTTTTGTGTTTTTGTGTTTTTGTGTTTTTGTGTTTTTGTGTGTTTTTGTGTTTTTGTGTTTTTGTGTTTTTGTGTTTTTGTGTTTGTGTTTTTGTGTTTTTGTGTTTGTGTGTTTGTGTGTGTGTGTTTGTGTGTTTGTGTGTTTGTGTGTTTGTGTGTTTGTGTGTTTGTGTGTTTGTGTGTTTGTGTGTTTGTGTGTTTGTGTTTTTGTGTGTGTGTGTGTTTGTGTGTTTGTGTGTTTGTGTGTTTGTGTGTTTGTGTGTTTGTGTGTTTGTGCGTTTGTGCGTTTGTGCGTTTGTGCGTTTGTGTGTTTGTGTGTTTGTGTGTTTGTGTGTGTGTGTGTTTCCCCTTTACTAAACTGATAAAGGTATCAAATGGTTGAGTCATAGGGTTAGGGTATGGGTTGAACGCTGACCAATAGTCATCCTTGCAACTGATCACGCGGTGAAACCGAGTCTGCTTTGGGAGCTTTCAAGTTCTCAGCGCCCAAGGAACGCTACATGAGCCGAGGATACATTGCCCATAGTGTTCAAGGTTCCCACAAATTTCCCGACCCTCTATTTTAAGATCGCCAAAAGGCACTGTTAAATGCACTTGCTCTTGACACAAACATACCGACACGTGTGTGTATGTGGAAGTCGTTCTAAAGGTCCTTGTAAGGAGTTTAGTATTCGGCGACCAGCGGTGTTGGTTGACATACCTCTGCAAAAGAGTCACGAGAGAGTTGCGAAATTAGTTGTTGGTTTCGCGAAAGTTTTGCATAGCTGTATCTGGCAAATCAGTCAGATATAAAAGCTGAGTTGCGACTTTCCAGCCGGAGCTGCGGAACCGCATCTCATGTACGACCCTTGTGCTGAAAAGTTGCGACTTTCAAGCTGGAGCTGCGGAGGCGCATTTTGCGTACTGCACTTGTGCTGAAAAGTTGCGACTATCTGACTTTAGCAGTTAAGAGTGCACGGGCGATGAATCCGCGAAGGATTCGCAAAAGCAATGTTGTTTTCGCGAAGAACGGGCGTTTCGAGACAAAATAATTTTGAACAACCACCTCGCATCAATTGGAATAATAGAGGACCCCTCTCAGCAAAACAACTGTTGGCTTTCTCTTTGCTTCCCCTATAACCAATCTCAACACCGGCACCTTCAAAAAAGAAACACAGATTGGACACAAGCAGTCAACGGACGACGTACCCAAGCAGTCAACCAATGCCGCGCAGGGAAGCTTCCTGGAAGCCAATCCCGACGATCCCCGGGCGCCAGGGGCTCAGAGGCTTGGCGGTTTGGCTTGCGAGGCCTAGCTGCCCTATGTGATTCGGAGGTTCCGATGGTTCCAACCACCGGTTGGCGTCCATCACTTGTTTTGGGCGTATGTTCCAAATTTAAAAGATAGGAGCTTGAAGCATGCTTCCAGTTGGGCTGGTTCGTGAGTCTTTTCCAAATTAGATTTGTAGTGAGTTGCACCTTGGAGCTTCTCAGATCGAAAAGCGAAGGTTCAGTACAGATGGAGGCAGGGTGCGCTTTGGAAGCCCCAGCTGCAGATGAAACATACTCTCTCAGCTCCAGCTTGAAACTCGGAACTGTTCAGAACTGATTACGTTTCAACGGAAGTTTATGCGAAGTGCACTCTGTCAGCTCCGCAGTTTAGCAAATGTATGCAAATATATAGTATGCGAAGTGCAATTCTCACTTTCATGCTCGAACATCGCAACTTATCATCAGCATAAATGCGAGGTATTCTCAGAGCACACGTTGGCAGCTCCAGCTCGAGAATGACAGCTTTACAGTACATAATGTAGTTTGCAAAGTGCGCCTCGGCAAATCATTTTTTTTAGTGCAGATGTAGGCTCCAGCTCGAACATCGCAGCTTATGAGTGGAAACAAAAGCATGTGCAGCACGCATTGCTGCCAAAGTTGCACATGTTTGCCAACAAGTCGCGCTTGGCAAGCTGCTGCTATCAAAGCCATTTGCCTGGCATCAAAAGCGACACATCCCGCAGGGGGCCCACCCCAACGCTCTCATTCGTCCGTGGCGGAGGGCGCACCGCCCAGCGGAAGCATGGACGAGCCCGGCAGGGATTTTTTCTCTCGGACATGCTTTCGGCCGCAATCAGTCAGGGGGGCCCCGAACCTTTTGACAGACCACCAAAGAGGTTTTGAGTGTTCTCCGCTTGAAGGTTCCCTCGCATTGAGAACCCGCTCCCAACATGGCTGGTCAACCTTCGGTTTTTCCTCCACGCTCGTTCAGGGTCTCCAATAGGAAAGCATCACTGTTGAACGATGGTCCATCAACTGCCGAACGATTCACACGCAACAGCCGTGGGAACAGTGGCCTCACTTGCTTGGCAACAGCCGAGATGCTGGGCGAACAAACCTGGATTTGACCTGATACCTGTTACAGTGGAGGCTCTAATGGGAGCCCTTGCTTCCATTATCGCAACCATCCATAGTTTATGTTTGTTCAACCGTCGTAAGCGTCAGTGCCTTCTTTTGATTCTTGGCCCAATATATATATATATATAGATATATAATATTCGCTCCCTGAGCTGCTGGACTTTAATTTTGCGGAAGACCATCTTAATGGTACACAACAAGCTTCGACTTTTTCTGCCCCCGCTCAGAAAGTGCATAGATGTACAGTATATGTCGAGTTTAAAGAGGAAGAGCATGCGTTTCCCATAGCCTTGGCCTTGTCATTTGGGCTATTTGTGACCCCAGCGAGTCGCCGAGGTTTCAGCTGCAGGCATGGTATCAGGCCGGAGGCAGAGACGAGCCAGTCCGTCAGCACCCAAGACCAAATCTGCCCAAAACGGGCGTGGCATGAGTTGCAGTGCTGGAGGTGTGTTTGTGTGTGTGTGTCTTTGTGTGTGTGTGTGGTTCATTGTGTTTTTGCTGTGGCGTGATGGGTGTGGCTCAAAATTAAGCAGGAGGGGTTACGCAGGTTTTGGTCCATGTTGCCACTTACCAGGGTTCCATTTGGTACCGGTTTCTTGACCCACACCCTGATGTGTGTATGTTCGATATTTGTTTGCCTTTGTGCCTTTTGTTCCTGTGTTTCGGGACTGTTTGTGTTTGTGACTCTGTGCGTGTGTGCATATATGTACTTTGATCCGGTGGATTGAGTGGCGATGCGTGCGTGCGTGCGTGTCGTGCGTGCGTGCGTGCGTGGGTGGGTGGGTGGGTGGGTGGGGGATTGGTGGGTACGTGGGTGCGCGTGCGTGCGTGTGAGCGAGCGTGCTGGCGGGCGGGCGGGCATGCGTGCGCATGCTTGTTTGTTTCTCGTTTAATGTATTTTTTATTTGTTTCTTGTTCTGTTTGTTTTTATTTCTTTGTTTCTCATTCCTTTGCTTATGTTGGTTCTTTATTTCATTGTTTCTCTATGTTAGTCTTTATTTATTTCTTGATTTATTCATTGCTGTCATGGTGTGTGGTCTTCGTGTGTTGGTTTGTTTCTCGTTTTGTATATAATTATTATGTCTTTATGCCGTTATTTCTGTTTATCCTTTTATGTCTGTCTTGAGTTGTTTATGTTTTTTTTGTTCATTCATTATTTATGTTGTTTCTTTGTTTTGTTCTTCAATGTTCCTTTGTTTACGTTGTTTTGTTATTTGTGTGTGTGTTTGTTGTTGTTGTTGTTGTTGTTGTTGTTGTTGTTGTTGTTGTTGTTGTTGTTGTTGTTGTTGTTGTTGTTGTTGTTGTTGTTGTTGTTGTTGTTGTTGTTGTTGTTGTTGTTGTTGTTGTTGTTGTTGTTGTTGTTGTTGTTGTTGTTGTTGTTGTTGTTGTTGTTGTTGTTGTTGTTGTTGTTGTTGTTGTTGTTGTTGTTGTTGTTGTTGTTGTTGTTGTTGTTGTTGTTGTTGTTGTTGTTGTTGTTGTTGTTGTTGTTGTTGTTGTTGTTGTTGTTGTTGTTGTCGTCTTGTTTCCTTTTCCCTTGTTTCCTTGAATTTGTCTTTCTTTGTTGTTTTTGGTTGCTTGCTTGCTTGCTTTGGTTGTTTGTGTATCAATGTGTGTGTGTGTGCGTGCGTGCAAGCGGGCGGTTTGGCGTTGGTTGAGTATTTGGCTGGGTTGCGTGCTTATTCGATCGAGGCCACGCGCTGTCCAACAGCACCGCGCGGGGCAGGAAGCGAAACCTGGCGGAAGCTCTGCAAGAGGCGGGCGGAAGCCAAAGCGCGACGGTGCTTGGTGTCAAATGGCCTTGGTTTTCGTTGAAGGGCCTTAAACATGTTGGGTTGTTTGAAGTCTTGCAGGGAAACCTGCTCAGCCGGCAAAGCGAGCTAGCTCATCCATGATGATGGCAATTCCCTCGCTCCCGGCAACGAAGTTAATTTGCCTAGATGGTCGGGAGTCTCAAATGGGTGTGTCCTTTTTTGAAGTTGGTACTGTAGTTGCCTTAAATCCCCCATTTTGAGACACACCCAAATGACGAAGCTGGGATTCAGTGAGTTGATACATGGATGCAGCATTTTACAGGTGACCAACGTGAAGCGATATGGTGCCCTGTGAGAACAAATCAAAGTTTCTGGTGTCCCTGACTTTGTTCTGACGAGCGGGAGATTCGACGGTCTCATGTATTCATAATTCCCTGCATGTTTTCACATGGAGCCCAAGTGGTTCCAAAAAATGCAGGGCAGTGATGAAACACACACGACGCGCTTTTCATGTTGTTAGACACCGAAACATCCCATTCTCTAGGCATTGTGTTTTCTGCCTTGCCTGCCCTATCTTAAGAACACATGATCCCTTCCACGCACACAGCACTCCAACACCCCAGAATTGATTAACTACACTCCTGGTTTGTTGAGTGCTTTAGTGGTCATCATTCAGTTGTTTGCATCCCCGAATGCATCAAGCAGGCAGCGCACAACCAGCCAGCCGCAATCGCAGTGATATTAGTTGCCTAATTTGTGCCAAATACCATATTTTCAACCATGGCCCAAGAATGAACACAAGCTGCATGCGATCAAAGAGCACCCGTTGAGTAACCAATACATCCAGGCTGTGCATGTATCTCCTTGACCGTGGCTTCTGATGAAGACAGGGAACTCTCGCGCAAAGATTCGGCATCCGTTGTTTGGTGCCCAGCCCATGCCCAGCCCCCGGTTCCGCGAGTTTCACTTCAGGACACCATGCTGCACCCCAACGCGTTGGAGAAGCGCGCCGTGCCAGCCTCAGACACTAGCTGCCTATCGGGGGCTTACGACTGAGTCTAACAAAGTCCTTTGCTGCCTTGCTTCCCGGGGGTTCCCTCACTGATTTTGAGCAAGAGCCTGGGCGAAGCATGGGCGAAGCATCATGAAGCATCCCAGAATCAAATCACCCAGGATTTGGGTAAAGAAGTTCAAAGGGGCGACCGTTTGGAGACATCATGTATATGTGGGGATTTACCAAAAGAAAGGTACTGCATGTGTTAATACTGGGCCGGTACCCTACAAATGCTGTTTTCCTTTTGGCTTTCCACACACTCATATTTCAGGGTGTTTATTCCTGGATTCTTGTGCCATCCAGGTCAACTTTCATCGCGTCTCGCCTGCTGCGGGCTCAGCACAAGGAGGCGACTTGCGTCGGCGTCACTTATTGCGGGCTGGAGCCTCCTTTCGGTGCATCTCGGGGGACGAGTAGGACTCAGTAGGACCCTGTTTGGTTGGCTTTGAAAGTCAAAAGCAAACCCTTGCCGTTTTAGGATTCTGATAATTTTGAGAGACCAAGTGCAGCACCGCTGGGTCTTATCTATCATCCGAGGTTCGGAAGGAATCTTTGCCGTGTGTCGCAGGGATTCGCCAATTAAGAGGACATGTTCGAACAAGTCAATTGCATTTGTGTGCAGAGAATCCAAGTACCCTTTCAGGTAGCGCACCGAACGGGCCGAAAGGGTCAAAGGGGCTTGTTCTTGTTTCTGGTTCCCGCTCTGAGGCAACTATTGTGGCCATCCGGAACGAGCGCGCGCCCTTCTATTTTGCCAAGCCCCAAGCTCATTCGACGCACCAAACTTTAGAGCCTCCGGCTCAGTCCGCCGACATTGTCCTCTCCCTTTTCTCCTTCTTCCTCTCTTCCTTGTCTCCCTTGTGTGTTCTGTCGTCCTCTCTCCCTCCCTCTGCTCCCATCCTCCCCATCCCCCCAAGCCTCTCTCTCCCCACTCTCCCTCTCTCGTATGTATGCATGCATGTACATATGTATGTATGTATGTATGTATGTATGTATGTATGTATGTATGTATGTATGTATGTATGTATGTATGTATGTATGTATGTATGTATGTATGTATGTATGTATGTATGTATGTATGTATGTATGTATGTATGTATGTATGTATGTATGTATGTATGTATGTATGTATGTATGTATGTATGTATGTATGTAATGTATGTATGTATGTATGTATGTATGTATGTATGTATGTATGTATGTATGTATGTATGTATGTATGTATGTATGTATGTATGTATGTATGTATGTATGTATGTAATGTATGTATGTATGTATGTATGTATGTATGTATGTATGTATGTATGTATGTATGTATGTATGTATGTATGTATGTATGTATGTATGTATGTATGTATGTATGTATGTATGTATGTATGTATGTATGTATGTATGTATGTATGTATGTATGTATGTATGTATGTATGTAACGTATGTATGTATGTATGTATGTATGTATGTATGTATGTATGTATGTATGTATGTATGTATGTATGTATGTATGTATGTATGTATGTATGTATGTATGTATGTATGTATGTATGTATGTATGTATGTATGTATGTATGTATGTATGTATGTATGTATGTATGTATGTATGTATGTATGTATGTATGTATGTATGTATGTATGTATGTATGTATGTATGTATGTATGTATGTATGTATGTATGTATGTATGTATGTATGTATGTATGTATGTATGTATGTATGTATGTATGTATGTATGTATGTATGTATGTATGTATGTATGTAATGTATGTATGTATGTATGTAATGTAATGTAATGTAATGTAATGTAATGTAATGTAATGTAATGTAATGTAATGTAATGTAATGTAATGTAATGTATGTAATGTATGTATGTATGTATGTATGTATGTATGTATGTATGTATGTATGTATGTATGTATGTATGTATGTATGTATGTATGTATGTATGTATGTATGTATGTATGTATGTATGTATGTATGTATGTATGTATGTATGTATGTAATGTATGTATGTATGTATGTATGTATGTATGTATGTATGTATGTATGTATGTATGTATGTATGTATGTATGTATGTATGTATGTATGTATGTGTATGTATGTATGTATGTATGTATGTATGTATGTATGTATGTATGTATGTATGTATGTATGTATGTATGTATGTATGTATGTATGTATGTATGTATGTATGTATGTATGTATGTATGTATGTATGTATGTATGTATGTATGTATGTATGTATGTATGTAATGTATGTATGTATGTATGTATGTATGTATGTATGTATGTATGTATGTATGTATGTATGTATGTATGTATGTATGTATGTATGTATGTATGTATGTATGTATGTATGTATGTATGTATGTATGTATGTATGTATGTATGTATGTATGTATGTATGTATGTATGTATGTAATGTATGTATGTATGTATGTATGTATGTATGTATGTATGTATGTATGTACATGTATGTATGTATGTATGTATGTATGTATGTATGTATGTATGTATGTATGTATGTATGTATGTATGTATGTATGTATGTATGTATGTATGTATGTATGTATGTATGTATGTATGTATGTATGTATGTATGTATGTATGTATGTATGTATGTATGTATGTATGTATGTATGTATGTATGTATGTATGTATGTATGTATGTATGTATGTATGTATGTATGTATGTATGTATGTATGTATGTATGTATGTATGTATGTATGTATGTATGTATGTATGTATGTATGTATGTGTATGTATGTATGTATGTATGTATGTATGTATGTATGTATGTATGTATGTATGTATGTATGTATGTATGTATGTATGTATGTATGTATGTATGTATGTAATGTAATGTAATGTAATGTAATGTAATGTATGTATGTATGTATGTATGCATGTATGTAATGTATGTATGTATGTATGTATGTATGTATGTATGTATGCATATGTATGTATGTATGTATGTATGTATGTATGTATGTATGTATGTATGTATGTATGTATGTATGTATGTATGTATGTATGTATGTATGTATGTATGTATGTATGTATGTATGTATGTATGTATGTATGTGTATGTATGTATGTATGTATGTATGTATGTATGTATGTATGTATGTATGTATGTATGTATGTATGTATGTATGTATGTATGTATGTATGTATGTATGTATGTATGTATGTATGTAATGTATGTATGTATGTATGTATGTATGTATGTATGTATGTATGTATGTATGTATGTATGTATGTATGTATGTATGTATGTATGTATGTATGTAATGTAATGTAATGTAATGTATGTATGTATGTATGTATGTATGTATGTATGTATGTATGTATGTATGTATGTATGTAATGTATGTGTATGTATGTATGTATGTATGTATGTATGTATGTATGTGTATGTATGTATGTATGTATGTATGTATGTATGTATGTATGTATATATATATGTATGTATGTATGTATGTATGTATGTATGTATGTATGTATGTATGTATGTATGTATGTATGTATGTATGTATGTATGTATGTATGTATGTATGTATGTATGTATGTATGTATGTATGTATGTATGTATGTATGTATGTATGTATGTATGTATCCTTGCACTTCCCCTTTGCTCCCCAGTATTTCCCGCAAAAAAAACACGGTTTTTCCAGCGTTTTCGCAAAGAGGACGTCCAAAAACATTGAGTTTTTCCAGATTTTCGGCAAAAGGATGCAGGAAGCCCAAGCCAGCAAAAAAGCCGGCAGGGGGAATCGAGCCTGGGACCCCTGTTTTGCGACACCGGCTCCCCGAAGACTACGTTTAGTGGAACGTCACCAAATTGCCGCGCGGTACGTGGGGGACCCCCCCCCCCCAAAAAAAACCTACGTAATAGACGTCGGGCGGGGGGGTTTAGGGGGGGGGTTATCCTCTATCCTCTAGTAAGTATCCGACACGCCGAGCAATGTCGGCGGATTTGTAGATTCTCACACGTGCCCACCCACAACAAAAGGTTCCATGCTTACCCCAAAACAAATCCGAACAACTCGTTGAGAGAACTGCGGTAGTTCTCGCTAGATGTGCCAGGCGTTGCTTGTTTGACGCAGGACATCCTCAAGTCCTCGGTGATTTTCTCACGTTCAATGCTTTCTGATCTTTCTGTGGGTGCCGTTGTTCGTTGACCCCCTCACGCTGGGGTCTGGTTGTCGCCCTGCCTGAGCTCAACCATCTGATCTCATCGGATCGGATCTCTGGATCGAGCGGTAGGGCTCAGGCTTCGTTGCAAGGGCCTTCAAGTGACTGAGGGCGAGAAGGGTCAGGCCCAGTTTCCCGCAAAAACCACGGGGCGGGCTTCAATCCCACGACCAATCTGGCTTGTTTCCTAGAGGACATACACATCACTAAAAGGACAGGAGAAAGAGTCAAGGTGCAGTAAATGATCTAGCAAACGATTGCAGACGGAAGAAGGTGGCCGGATTTTTTTGCGATGCCCCCCCAATGGCTATGAATATTGATAGGGAGCACTGTGGAGAAACAAGCGTTTGGTGGACATGAATCCGCATTTCAAATGATGACAATTGAAGCGTTCCCAACCAAACGTCATATCAAACAAGTCTCATTTAAGACGGGATGCTTCATTTGGAAGTCGCACCCGCTTCTTTATCCACCGGGTTCTGCATAGCTTCAGGGTTAGCATTGCCCAGATGGTGGAAATACCGGTGAGGGGATGTGAACTCGAATTCCACAGCTCCTGGCAGCCTGGCGCCCAGGGCTGCACATCGGAAGTCGCGGGCTTTGAGTCAAGGATGAGGCAGTGCAATAAGAAGGCAGGGGTTTCCCGCGGACGGGATGGCCATAGCTGGGCGAAGGTGGTATGTGGTTGTCCCATTTTTGGCATTGCAAATGTCATTGTGTTCACATTTGCTGGGTCAGTGTCATCCATGATATCGCCGTCGTCGTCGACGATGACGTCCTCGTCCTCGTCCTTCTCCTCGTCCTCATCATCATCATTATCATCATCACCCATCACCATCGCACACTGTTCAACTACCTGTTTGATGGGAATTATGAGAATGCCCGTTTAGTTGAAGCTTAGTTGAAAATCTAAATGGAACAATCGTCATTGGATTTTGGCCGCTGCTCATGAACGTATGCTATTTGGAGAGTGGCCAAGTCCTGCTGCTGGGGGCTTATGTCAATGAAGCCAGACACTCGAGAAGAAGAGCATAAAAGTTAAGTAGTCACAATCGGGCAACACAAGTGGATCACTTCTGTAACATCGCAGCCCCTTCTAGTAGTTGCCGGCTGTTAGTCTCGCTGGCAGGTTGAAAATGGGACATGTGCAGCGGGGCACATTTGCCCGGAGCCAGCCGCTCGCTTCAACTTGCTCTTGCAGGCTGGGGCTCATGATCACGTGTTTGCGGGTCTCAAAACGTGTGTTGAGGGCCCCTGATCAGCATTTGGATGCGCCTGTTGTAGGGGACCCCCCCCACACACACACTCCGTAAAATGGTGTTTTGTTCTTTTCTTTACAGCCACCGGGTGCCTTTAAAAAAAGAGACATATCCATTTGGGGAGTGAGAGAAGCCTTGTTGAACGGGGCGCTCTTTGATGAACCCTGCGAAGATGAAGTGTTTCGTTCGGTGGAGAAGGTGGACGCGTGCATCGTGGGACGGCATTGGGGGCCGCTGAACTGCTCAAATGGCCAACTGACCAACTGACCAGCCAGAGAAAAACTCTGGCCACGTGTGTGTTGAGGAAATAAAGTTCCTATCCGCCAAGCCTGACATGGGATGGCAGGCTGTGGTTTGGGCGCATTCCCAAAAATGGGCCGTGTGGTTCATTGGAGGCTTGTGGGCTTCGCAGCTCCATTGGCTCCCTTTTCCCCTTTGAGACCTTTGAGAGATAGAGAGGCGTGTCTTGGGTGGCCTTCCGGGGTTGCTTATGGAAGCCCCTTGGCACATCCCAACGGGAGAAGCTCAACTCGCCCAGATGAAGAAGGGGGAAGTTCGCGGCTTGATGCAGCCCGCGGAGTCAAATCGTTGGTCTATGGTCGAAGTGTGGGCAGCTTCCGCTTGCGCAAACAGAGACACTCGAATGTGCGGAACAAAGCATGTATGATATCGATATAGTATTCAGTGAGAATGCGTTGGCTCAGACCCCCCAGAAGCTGCCTGCCATTTGAGAAGGTGTCATGTCTTGGCTGCAATTGGATCTGAAACCTTTAAGTCGTCGTTGGGAATCATTGTGCGTGTTCGTGTTTCCAACAGAGGGGGGGGGCAACAGCATGTTCCGGTGCGTCCCTTGCGAAGCTGTCACCTTTGTGGCAGGTGGCGGATGCCTATGCAACCGCAGCATGCCTCAGGATGTTGGACTGGCAGCGATGGAGTGGTTGCATCTTAGGAAGTTCTCTAACATGCATTTGGGGCCCGGTGGTTTCGTTTTTCGAGGATGATCACTTTAAAAAACCCGGTGGAATGACCGGAGGTACTCGGACTGTCCAGACACTTGCACGGAACGTACTGCCGACAGCAAAATCAGCAAACAAACCTAAGCTGATTTTGACGAAGGGGATACATAAGCTGGCCCCATCGTGAAACATGTTCACTAGGGATTCCCTTATTTCTCACTTGGAGACTAGTAATTGCCCAGATAGAACCTGACACTTTGCGAAACCGCATTTATATTGCGACTCGTGCAAACTCAACAATGAGCCCAGGGATATCTTGACATTTCACAAGCGAAAGGGGCAGTTGTTTGAAGCTTCGGGTTGGTACATCACCCTTGATTTGGTGCCCTGGGTGTCAACCTGTACGTTTTCTTGAGTCCACGTTCACATCAAGGTCCCATTGTGGTCCACGTCCAGCCGACATATGAAGGGCAGTGTATGTCTTTGTACGGGGTCTGCAACAGCCGCGGCGGACATTCATTACATGCCCCATCGCAAACCCTACGTAACAGACCTGCTGGCTCGTTACACACCCCGTGCTGCACATGTCGCATTACATACCTTCGTTACACACCTCGCATTAACAAAGCCGCCTCGCTGGTTACAAGAACTTAGAGATGCAGAATAAGAAAGACAAAGATCATGCAACATATATGGGAAAGTCATGCCTGCCAAAAGATGACAGGTACTTCCAGGATGAACATCTGAAAGGCTGGGATTCTTCTTGGCCTAACATCAAAGCGTAAGGAATGCATTGGGTAGAAAGACAAGAAGAGCAACAAACACTAAATTGCAGTGATAAAGAGAGTGTACATCATGAGGATGATATTGAATTCTTAGTACTAGCAATCTTTTCTCCAGTGAAGATTATTGCAGAGAAGAACAAAGAAAATGTGCATTCAGAAGAAAAGTCGGAACAGGTAGGGGAGGGGCCGGAAGAAAGCATCCTCTTTCTGTGCTTGCTATGCCTCGTTACACACCTCGTTTAACAGCCGTTACACGCCTTGCTGCAGACCCAACCAACCCTGGCCCGGGGAGTGACCCGCGCCGCTTGGCTTGCTGTGGCACTTCTTTCTGCGCCACATTGTGGTACTATTACTTGTCAAGTTGCACTGTTGTCCCGTTACACAGCTACGTAACAAGAACCCCGTTACATACCTCCGTAGCAGGATTCGTGCCGCGTCGCGCATTACATAGCCTCCAAAAAACCATAGCTTTTGAACGACAAGCACCAAGTTGGGGCAGAATGAACCCGTTGCGTAGCCTCAAGAGAAACATAGCCATACTGTGGTTTGTTTGCCTTTTGAACGTCAAGCACGAGGTTGGGGCAGAATGGATCATGGCTTTGATCTGCAGTTGTTAATGGCCCAAGCCGTATCCTGCTGACATTGCCAATTTACTCAAACCTTGCCGTTAGTGGTCCCTCGCTGTCCCTTTCCAATCTTTCCAACAGCTAAAACTTTGGTTTTTGGCAGGGGGTCTAAGTCTGGCCCAGAGAGGATACTATGCCTTTGCTTGAGGTTCACTGCCGAGCCTTTGGTGCAGAGGCTCGTTTTGAACGACCGGGCGCCTGCTGTTCTATTTAGAGCGGGAACATGATGTGGGTTTGTGTCAACATATAGGGAACCCAGGAACCCACAACGTTTCTATGTTTAGTTTGTTTGTTTTAGAACAGCCACAGAAAAAGTTCCCTCAGAAGGCACATTTACATATGCAAAAGGTTACCCATAATGGACACATGGGACATTTAGTGATTTATCCTTGTCTATTTGGCTGATTTTTTGTGAGTCACCTGGTGTTCTTTCATGTCCGTCCCAAATTAATTGATCGTGTCCAGCGGACTTGATGGAACCTCACAGTTGGCAAGACACTGACCTATGGGTCCCTAAGGCGGCGGATTTGCATTCCAGGTCCCAACAAGATGCTCGAAGTTTCACACACCTTCAGAGAGAAGCTACATTTCTAAGCCTCATGAATCGTGGTCAAATTAAAGTATCCTTTGCTTGGGGGCTGGTAGGAACGGTCACCAATACCATGCAGAAGGCCATCACAGGGTGGCATGCTGATCAAGACCAAATCACGATTGAAAGAATTGCCACACCGTTTGACTATGGTCATGATATTAGAAATTTTTAGAGACCAGTTTCCGGAGTTGCCGGGAGCGGGAGGTTCGTGGGAAGTCTCAATGCCAGAATCAAGGTCAAAGGCCAACTTGCCAATTGGCATGGGAGGAAATTGGTCGACCATTCAATCAGCAGAGTGCCTTTCCAGGATGTTTGGCGTTTTGGTGCATGACCCGTAAATTAAGCATGCAACGCGAGCTTCTGCATGTTTGAAGTCTAGATTTGAACTGTTCTATTGTAAGGATCGTCCTGAAGAATCCATAGAGAAGCTGCCACGTGTTGCCATTCGAGTCGAGTTTTTGGTGCCCTCGAGAAACAAGCCGGGGGCATCCCGGGACAGTCCTTGTTACAGTCCCTGGCACCTAAGAAGCGCCTTCAAAGACGCTTTCATATTAAACAGACCTCCTCCCCCCCAATGGTAGCTGTCCTTTTGGTTTCCCTTGAAACCTGCCGGAAAATAGTACCCTCAAATGTACATGTATATGTATATGTATACATATCTATATATATATACACATATATGGGTGTTGTCTATATACATAACCCCCCAGTAAGAGGGGTATTAGAGTCTTTGGCAGGCTGAGATGTTGGCGGACGTGCCAGCAGCGGAGCTGGCTGTTTTGGACGACGAGCGCATGGCCGGCAACATTCAGGCGTGGTCACGGCTATGTTTTTTATTGTGCTTGCTCCTTGAAAGATACAATTTGGCCGTGGGCAATGTCCGTCCAGGACTAGCTGAGCCGCTCCTGCACCCTCGAATCACGGCCAGTCCAAGCTTCTTCGCAACTACTGTTTCTGTCCAATGGGTCTTGATGCACGAGCGATCACACGGACCAAAGCTGGTTCGGCTCAGGGGTGCAGAAACCTCACTGCTGCCAGAGCCCTGAGCCCTTGCTCATACAGGAGACTTGGCTCCTAAACTGGTTTATGTTCGGGAAGTGCTGGGAGTCATGTTGGGCTATTTTCCCTTTAGCATTGTTTAATTCTATCAGACCCCGCAGAAGAATGATGAACCAATTCAGTGCTGTTACTGTTTTCAGGAGATAATTGTCGTGGGCAAGGACACACTTTGCCCCCATGATTGCGAGCTAAAAATGAGGGCTAAATCGAGCTCAGATGGTCTCTTCCTTAGGGATTCTTTGCTTCAGGTCAGTAAAGTATTGCGAGCCATGATCGTCGTTGCGGCGCTTTTCAGCGGCGAGGATGGGCAAGTCGCTGATGACGATGACCGTCCGCTGACCGAAAGCCTTGGAAACTTTTCAGAGAGGGCGGTGCCTTTCACAGCGACAACTTGGAGCTGTGTTGCCGTCTTGTTCCTTTTCCTTGTCGCTCATGAGCTACACGCTGTGAGGGCAAAACCTCTACTGGCTGGTACTCAGAAGGCAAATACTCTGGTATTCCAGATCTCATCCTTGATATTTTTCTTTTCTGGGTATCTGATGGAATCGCTGCTACTGCCGATCTCGCTGGATTTCGCGAAAAGCATGGGGCAGAGCGCCACCATGAGTGGCTTCTTTATTAGTGCCTCTTTGATTGCTTGTTTGCTGGGAATTGCAGTTGGCAAGAGGCTGGTGAGCGAAAGCTCTTGGGATCAGAACAGGGCCCGTACTTTCATCATTGGTGCTCAGGCAGTTAGCAGTTTGGTGCTGTTGGTGCAAGCCGTGGTGTCCAATGCTACGGTTGGCTGCACTTTCGAGACCAAGCGGGCTGCGTTTTGGCTTATTATTGGCCTGGCAGAAATCTATACGTTCATCGCAACCCTGCCATTGATGCCCCTGATGGTCATGTGGTCCAAGTTCACCCCAAACAGTGACAAGAGCTTTTGGATGATTTGGACACAGTGTGCCAGAAACGGGGGCTTCTTGATCGGCCCGGGTGTTTTCGCGGTTTTGAGCGTCTTGGTCGGGCAAAGCAGACCTGTGGCGCCAGTGTCTTTGCTGGCTTGGGTCTTTCTCTTGCAGTGTGTCATCGTTCTACTTGCAACGATTTTCATCGCCATGGCTTTGCCTGTAGCGGTTCCCCCCACCGAGGAAGCGCAGGAGGCAGGGTTGGTTGCAAAATGGTTTCGTCAACCAGACACTGGCCCCCCTTTTTGAAGGAATTGCTGCAAACTACGCGTGTTCAAACCACAGTTGAAACAGGGGGTTGAATCGCCCACCACAAGGAGGAGCTTGACTCAGACGAGGCAAGCCCGGGCGTTGACCAGTTGCACACAAAGCAGCGTGAGCAGGTGGTGAAGGGCATGGTTCGATATGCGTTCGAACG